GAGGTGGTGCATACCCTTTAACTGGAGGTTCATAAGCTGGTGCTTGGTAAGCTGGCTCGTATGTTGGTGGTGGTGGAGGTGGTGCATATCCTTTAGCTGGAGGTTCGTAAGCTGGGGCTTGATAGGCTGGAGCTTCGTAAGCTGGTGGAGCGTAAGCTGGTGGTGGAGGTGGTGCATATCCTTTAACTGGTGGCTCATAAGCTGGTGCTTGGTAAGCTGGCTCGTATGTTGGTGGTGGTGGAGGTGGTGCATATCCTTTAACTGGAGCTTCATATGCTGGAGCTTGATAGGCTGGAGCTTCGTAAGCTGGTGCTTGGTATGTAGGCTCGTATGCGGGTGGAGCATAAGCTGGTGCTGGAGCTGGTGCATATCCTTTAACTGGAGCTTCATAAGCTGGAGCTGGGTATGCTGGTTCGTAAGTTGGTGCTGGAGCTGGTGCGTATCCTTTTACGGGTGCTTCATATGCTGGAGCTGGATAAGGTTCTTGGTATGTTTGTTGTTCCTGTAAATAAAAATCAGTAGAAAATACGATGTTGAATTAAACCGATATCAAAGCTCAGAAATGAAAGTATAATAATTGAATAATCTAAAAAGTCTAATTCAACGAATATAAACTCACTTCTACCTGATTAGCATAATCTCTTCCTTGGTTGTTGTTGGGTTGTTGTGAACCTGATGACCGATTAGGTTTAGCGGTGCTAGCTGAACTGTTTGATTGATCAGGAGCAGCACGACGAGCTCTTACAGAGCATTCCTTTTGGATTTGGATTGAACCAACTGTAGGCTTGTCATTTTTATTAATCTTAATGATGTAAGCTTTGACTTCTTCTTCAACCATTTCACCTTGCTTTACTAATGGAACTACGAAACATGCATCTTTCAATGGTGCAATAATGAGTGAGCTGGAGTATTCATTGATTTGATAAGATGAAATTGGTGTTTCATGGGCAATCATCATTCGATCAAGACGATTTGAATCAATTACGTAATTTGGAGCTACAACAGTGAATGAACGTTGTTCCTTTAAGTTTTCGTCAACACAAACGGTGATTCTTCTTGTTGAACAAGACTCATCAGATCCGCGTTGGCTCTTTAGAACCTTGAATCCTCTTCGGATGTATGGAGCTGGAGTCTCTCCTTTTTTAAGTTCCCAGCTATCTTCTCTCTTTTCTTCAGAACTGACAGGGTAATTTCTTTCATATTTACTGACAGGGATCTCTCGAACTCGCTCTAAGATTAGACATCCTTTAGATGAATCAAAGTCCAAACTCTTCTCCTCTTGTGGTAATTCGATTTTCTTCATTTCAAATTTTTCAAGAGAGATTCTCTTAGAATCGATCTCAGCAATAACTGACTTATCACCAGTTGAAAGGATTCGCCATGCTTCGACAATTGTATCAACAATCAAAGGATCGTTAAGGGAAAGGTTTGAGCCAATCAACTTTTGGATATGTTGTTCAATTGATTCTGTTTGGTTCAATGCAAGTTTAGCCTTGACTAAATAAGCTAAAGCTCGAAGATTTTCATCGTTAGACTTCAAGTTATCCATAGCCTCTGACATGAATCGCTCAGGAATTCTTCTTTCTCCTCGATTTTGGATGGTAGTTAATTCACTTTCCAAATCTCGAATAAGTTTCTTTGCTGATTCGGTTCTGTTCATTTTAGCGTACAAGAAAGCAGTCATAGCTCGGGTCAAATAATCTGATTGTTCAGCTTCAAGATTATCAATGCATTTCAAACATCGTTTCAAGACAATTCTAGGTGTTTGTTTGACTTCGACAAGAGTAGAAGCAACAAAAGCAGTCAATTCCTTTGGTGAAACTTGATGGTCGAAAGGCCAAAGATTGATTGGCATATTGCTGTAAGTCTTAGGGCGGAAACATCCGTCTTTCATCATACTACCAGCAATAAATTCAAAACTTTCGGTAAGAAGATCAGCACCGCTGAATTGGGGCAATTTATCTTGGATTTTAGCGATAGCTTTGTAAGCCAATGAGGTAGCTACGAGTGATGGTACACGTTGGTTACCTGAGTTGAATGAGAATGGTCCACGAGGTAATTTGTAGTGAGATAGTTCTTCAACTAATTTGTAAAGGTCTCCGACCATGCTGCGAGACAAAGATCGGGGCAACTTCTTTTCATTTCGGATGTACATATCAGCTAATCCGTTGAATCGAGCCAAAACTTCAAGAATATCGGTTCGGATAGATTTGTCATCTCGGATTTGTTTAATAAAAATGTTGGCTAAATCTTGAGCAATGAGAATAGTTTCATCATCATCGGATCCAATTCGAGCTTTAGGGAGATTTTTGCAGGCTAACTCATATTTTCGAAGAGTTATCTTTGGATTGTAGGATTCAACTCTGGTTCTGATAGCAACCTGTTGAGGTTCAAAACTTTCGATTTCTGAGGTACATTCAGCAGAAGCCAAAGATGAAGAGAATCGAGCAACGACTTTAAGGTTAAGAGGACCAGTTTTGAGTGCTTTAATTCTCAAAGGTACTTTGGTAACCTTGGAGCATGAACAAATTCGTGGTTGAGCTTCAGAAACGATTTCATAAGCGTCGGATCTCTCAAAAACTAATTCAACTGGAATACATTCTGTTTGTTTCATGGATGATTGGTCTCGCTTGATGTAAAGGCTAACGTTTTGGATAGTGTCTTGGTAGATGATTATTGGTAAATCATGCTGCATGTAGATTGGTTGAGTATTCAATCGCTTTACAACGGAATGTGATCTAACTCCTCGAACTTGATCCATACAGATAGCATGAACAGCAATTTCTGATTTGCCTGCAAGATCAGATTCCTTAAGAGATTTAAGGAAATCTTGTAAGTTTTCTTTTGGTCCCCAGAACAAAACATCATTGATCAATGAGTTTTCCAATTGATTCAATTGAGCCATGTTAGCTGAGTCAGCAAGAGAAGTCATAATGTGTTCAGGATAAGGAAGAGTGTGTTGAACAGCAAGTAAACCTTGGAGTGATTTGTTTACTGTTGCTTCATCGAAAACTTCCCAATCACATGACTTGTTGAAAATGTCAGATTTTGTGTAAACTGCACGTAAACCCATTTCTTTGAAGGTATCCCAATTGTTCTTGAAATCAGCAATTAAAGGTCGGTTGGTGTTTCGCTCTAATTTAGCTAAACTGCATCGGTCCCATTCAAAGCTTTTAGCGTAGATATCGTCAAACTTTTCTAACAATTTATTGATTTTTTGTTCAGTCAATCGACCACGTTCTGCTGAGGTACCAACGGCAACTGAACAAGGAACACCCTGTGGAACCTTAAGATCAACAGCAATTCTATTGTTCTTGTCAACATTAACAGACATTAAAGATTCGTCTTTCAAACAATCCTTAAGGTATGCAACTGAGTCAGAGATGAGATTACCGTTAGAGTCAAGACCGTACATGACAATTCTATTCATAACGGAATGTTTGTCTGATTCGGCATCAATTTCTCGGTAGATGTTTGCAGAGTAGATTTCAGCTGATTCGGGCCAGTTTCCAATGAGGATATCGGACTCTGGAACATATGGAGTTGGGGTAAGCTTAACAGACTTGGTTTGAGCTGAAGAAACTCGACCAGCTGATTGAAGGTACAACTTATTAAATAAAGCAGTGCCATTTCGAGTCATGATAACTGTAAATTGAGTAGCTTCAGGCATACTTTCGCAGGAATCGATTCGAAGAATTGGTTTGATGATAAATTGAGTAGCGCTTTGTTCAACCCAGGGATTGATAACGAAGGTTTGTTTGTGATCGGCAACGCCAGGAATTGAAGCTTCAACGATGATTTGCTTAACAAATTCGGGAACAGGGGGAATAACATATTTGATTAGTCCATTAGCTGATGAGGTTAAGATTTTACATGATTTCTCATGAGAATCCTCGAATTGGAAAGGTTTGCTTGCGATTTTGAAACAGATTTCAACTTCAGCATTAGCAAGTGGAGTATAGTTAGGGGTTTCAACGATTAAATATCCAAAGTAAGGAAGACCTGATTTGTAGTAGCTTTTGACTAATGCACTGGAAGGTACTCGAAGGTGCACTTGGGCTAGTACAACTGGAAGATAGAATGGTATGTATTCACGAACGCCAGTTTCTCGATTGATATATTCAATTGATCCTTGAATATTTTTTCCAACCAAGGCATCAAAACGGAATGTCTCATTTTTGAGGTGGAAGTGGACACAGCCATCCTCCTCAAGCTTCATTGATAAAAGAAATAAGTAATTTAGAAATCAAAAACATCGAAAAAACCGATGCTCTTATGAGCAATAAAAGTCTTAGTGAAAGTATTTCAAGATTCAGAATCAGTAAAACTATTCTGATATCTAAAAACAAGCAAAATGTAAACTTACAGGATTCTCTCGAATAACGAGGTGATTTCCAACTTTGACGTTGACTAAGCCTCCATTCAATCGAGCTCCGTGTTTGTCTTCAGCACATACGACCATTCGGTGTTTATCTTCATTTGCAACAATGAACTTTTCACCCTGAGTGATTCTTAGGACAACTTCAGGTTGAACTGCAAAGAAAAATTAGGTGAAAACTGTTAGTAATTCAAACAAAAAACAAATAAATCAACAAAAACAAGCTAAAGCAGATAGGTTTTAATTTGGTAAAAAGTAATTAAGGTATGAATCAATAATTAAATTAACTGTAAAGGCAAAGAATATAACACGAATAAACAATCGTCTTAATTGATTAATCCGTTAGCTTCAGCAGATTATGAACGATTGCACCGTATGTAACTGTTGAAGCCTAAAAACACCAGATGGAGCATTTCAAATGCAAACAACAAACAATTTATGTTTAATCCTATTTTTGCATATTTTCAATCAACAAATGTAAGAACAGTTTAACTTACTTTTTTTGGCAACTTGGAATAATTTCTCGACGGCTTCACCTGATTTGGTTAAACCAACAATCTTCCAGATACCTTCTTTGTTGTTTGAGGAAAGTTCAGTTTCATAATGGTTCATTCCTTTCTCTAGTGCCTTTCCGGGCCATTCCATGATTTTTACATTCTCAGGATTTAAAAGAGCAATTGAAACGAAATCACTTCTCAATGGTTTCATTGATCCATCAAAACCAATAACTCGGAACCTGAGATTTTCACCAGGTTGGTAGACTGGTTTGCTGGTTTCGATCATTGACATACCATATGATGGCTGGAATGGTACAATTTGAGCGACATCAATATCAGCTCCCAATCGGACTCTCAAATTAACGTAGGTTGACTTGATGTCCTTAGTTTCGAGAGCGAAACATTGAGTGTCTGTAAAGAAACGAATAATACATATACGAGTTAATCAGAAGTTTTCTGCAACAGCAACATCACCTGTAGAGGCCTCAGTGGTCAAAGATTGTCACCCAGGTAAATATGAATCCTTTTTCTTAAAATAATGTTCACCTGTCAGTGATATTTCAGTTATTTTTACGCAAACAATGATCAAAATCACGGTCCACAAACTAAATGTATTAATCTTTAGCTTTTCCCTTCATTATTTTCAGAGAAGCTCCAGTCTCTTATATTGGCTATCTTCGGAATGACAGCTTTTCTCAACAAATTTTGCAAAAAAGATTGATCTCTGGGTGACAATTCTCGGTGAAGGATAGAACCTTGGTTAAAATCAAAAAGCAAACATTACCTTTTTCAACTCTGAAAGTTTCAGAGAAAACTGTACGATTTTCAGCATCACTGGAGATAACACGAAGGTCCTTTTCCTCTGGAACATATCCATCGAGTAAAGTCAAGCAAATTTTGTTTCCAGTGGATGATAAAATTTGGGGGAAAGTTAAAAGGTATTGTTTGGAGCTGATAATCTTTTTACTTCATGGCGAATGATGGAAAAGAAAGAAAAGCAAGAAAAGAAAACAATATTAATCCAATTGATGGAACAACATTTGGAAGAGGAAAAAAAGTATCAGCAGAGTTGTTATTGAATTTGTCTGTTGAAAAATGGTGGAAACTTACTCATTGGATTGGATGCTACCGTTTACTAGAACGGTGCTTACAAGCAGGCACAAAAGTCCGAAGAGATTCATCTTTTTCCGTGATGTTCACCGAAAAAAAGGAATCAACTGATTGACAGTTGTCTTAATTGTTAATCAACCTTATATACCTAACGATATCAAAAAGCTATTGGGGGAATTGAAAAGCTCTTCAATTATGATGAATTTACAGAAATGGAAAATGTCAAAACATAAGAAAATTTCTGGTTCAAAGTCTTTACAGTTTTCTGCCATTGAATTCAACAAAATCTGCTGATACATTAGTAACATAATTATGATTATCAGTTGATTATCAATTTTACATGATCAACTAAATGGCGTCAACATAAGATTTTTCTTGATATTCTTCTTCACATCATTCGATAATAAGATGATCACAGGCAATTATCATCTTGTAATATCTTTATGAAATTGCAATTTTAAATAACTAGAGGCTAAAATGTTGTTACACATTCAACATTAACAACTTCAATAATTTGTATTCTTCCAAATTTCAACAATTTCTCGGTCCTGATTATGATTCTTTACCATTAGTGCTTGTTTCTTAATCAGTCAATCAGTTGATATTTTTGTATCTAATAGTAAATTTAATTGTTATGCTTTTTCCATCATTTATGGTCACCAAAATTATGCACATCAAAAACACATCTTTCCTTACACATGTGAGAAAGTGATTGTCAATGCAGTTTTTGATAGATTCATCTGTAATCAACCATTGCTCTTCAAACATTATAATTACAATTAATCAACAAATGTAAGCAAAAATTAAGCCAGAACTCTTGTTTAATGGTTACAGCATTTTATTCAAGTTTTAACTATCAATCTTTTCTGGTTATTTTCATGAGATTGTCATTGTTCATTTTCAATTCATCTACTGATAGTATCTAAAAATTTGATTTCATTTATCTTGAAGTTTTCGTTGAAACCAGAATCAATTTTATGGTAAAGTTTTAACTTTTGGTGATGAAAGGTTCATTATCAGATTGATGATGAAAATTGTGCATTTTTCGATTCATGATCAATTTTTCAACAAGTACGTTGATGTTGTCAAAAAACACTTAAGAGATAAACATTTTTTAATTAATGCTGACAAATTAATTGCTCGTTGATTCAAGTTTCTCTTGTCTCTAATCATTTGCCCATAATCAATTATAAACCCATCTCAATCTTTAGCTTGTAACAGCAATTTCATTTTAAGTATTTTCTTAATTGCTAATTAAACACTCTTCTTTCTTTATTTCGCAGTTAAAATCCACGTAAAAATTACGATCAACTAGATAACAATGACAACAGTCCTCGCAACTATTGCTAACCCATTCGCTATGGCGTTTAATCAACCAGAATAGTCTAACAAGCTGTTCCAAAAGCAGTTATTGAAAGTAAAAGACATGAGGTTTTTTAAGCTATTGAATTAGCTAATAGATCATGAAATTAGCAAATTAAAAATTAGAAAAATTTCAAACTTGCCAGCTAAAAACGAGTATCTTATTGGTGCCATTTCATATGCACGTATCAAATGAAAAGGTATTTTGGTCAACTTTATGATTTTATGAGAAATATAATAGCTGATCAAAACTAAAAAAGGGTGATTTAATGAATGTTATCATTCGTTCAATTTTCAAGGCCTAAATTTACATCGGAATTCACAGGCTGCTTATAAATTAAATTATATTGATTATTAGCATATTCATCAGTAAATATTTGATCTCTCTCAAGTTGGGCAAATTAGTTACCGAGCTGGCTGATGTCTCTATTGGAGGAGTTGGAATGATTGAAAAATCTTGAGCAATTGAAGACAAATCAATGTTGAGATACTTTAATACTCATAAAAAAAGGACAACTTTAATCGAGAGAAATGTTTAGTGTGGGTACTTTTAACTGTGAAGCTGTGGGTACTTTTAATCGTTGAAAGCTGTCATGTTACAATTTTATTGCCCCATAACGCTCGATGTAAAGTGAAACAGGCACTTTTCACGACTTTGCAATATTAGTTTCCTGTTAAATCCTTTTTAGCCAACTTGTTTGAGTTTCTTTGAGATTCACAGCCACTTTATTTTGACCAATACCGAGCGAATCTTCGCTGATTATTTCACTGGATTTCAGACCAAAGATGAATTTTTTACCTAATAATATATTTGTATTTCTTCTTATCATCTTATGTTCACTTTCAAGAGAAAGTACGCACCAAGATGAATCTCGTCGTATTCAAAATGCCTATGGATACAGCCAATTTCATCTTTAGAGGTGATTTGCTAATCCAATACTTGTTGATTTATCTCCAACATACATCCAGATCAAACGAAATGCAGACTAAAGACCGTATTTGCTAGTTAAAAGTTGTAATAGGACTGTTTAAAGTATCATAGACCACCTTGGTTGACTTATATGATTACTGATACTTATACTTATAACTTAACTGGTATACCATTACTGCAGTTTCTTTCACCATATTGATATTTAGGTTGATGAAGCTGTTCTTGAAAGCCATGTTGATTAACGATCTTTATCCAGCATGATGGAGCTATATTCATGAGTAGAGCTTCGATATCAGCTGGTCGTTGGAACATTCTGTTGCTATTTCATGCCATCGTTGGAACCTTGAGCAAAAATAATTTCCTCCTTGACAATTACAATCTCAAATTTTCCGTTCTTTGGACTCTATCTAGTATGGCCAAATTTTGCTCATCAATATTTCCATCTCGTCTTTAGCCAACAAGTAAGTCCTTTGATGCAGGCCTGGATGTTAATAATAACAAAATCAAGTTATAAAGTAAAATGAAAATGAAACTTTTGAGTTATATCATGAGTTTTAATTAGGATTTGGTAATTTTGACCAATTCCTTGACAATTAGAATGAATTGAATTAGAAAAAGTATAAAAGTGTTTACACATAAAAACTGACCATGTCCATAGTACAGCTGATCAATAGATCTATAGACTAAAAAGGTTATGGGATTGCTGTTGACAGCCATTTGAAATTGAAGCGCATTTTTTGAATTTGCTCATGAATGATCGATTGACTTTTAAGCCTGATAATTGTAATGATCACAATCAACTGAGACCCAAAAAATTCGTCAAATCATTGAACATATTAAATTTTTAATAGAATTTTTGACAAAATATTTAAACATTTTTCAACTATGGTCATCGGTAATCGATGTTTATCGACAATCCCAAAATGAATTCCATGTAAACATGTTATGTAAAATTTAACATGAGTCTTTTTAATGAATGAAAAGGATTCAGGAATAGTTGTTGAGATGAAACAATAGAGGCGATGATGATAAAAACAGTAAGAGTGACGGCATTTTGCAACTGTTGATTATGTTGTTCTGTTGGTTCAATGAATGGATGTTTTGCTTAATTTTATTACTCAGTGAAATTGATTATAATGCTCAATGAATCAGAACTTGACTATTGACGGAACCTGCTTGCACTCCAACAGAAGCAGGACGAGCACGGTAATTAGCTGGTGCTGAATTCACGCCTCTTCTCAGAGAATCAGGAGATGCAGATCCATGATATACTTCGACTGAATCGTCATTTGTAAATGGATAATTTGCTGACAATATATTAACATTTTCAACGACAAATAAAACTTTTGGACTGGTCATTGAGATTTTCTTCATCTCTGTGATATAAGAACCAATAAATAAATCTAAACATAAAGCCATAATCCATTCAGCTACAGATGCAGAAATGTGTAACCAGTAACCACCATCATTCTCAGTCCACTTCCTTGGATTGTCTCCATGATAATATTTGAATGCTAATGGACCACAGACAGTTTGTATAACAAACGTTATGGTCATTAAGGTGCATAGGAAAAACCGGAAAATGGCACAAGCTCGACTATTGACAATTGGATAGGTTCTGAAAGACATCCATGTTTGTATCCAACAATAAATCGCACCACAACCGAAACATGAAAATGCTCCAATCAAATGGACGACGATGAGGTTGGTTTCTTGGAAATTGGCTACAATTGAAAGGCCTAAACATGCGATGATCCCCACAAACAGAGCCAAACGATTTCTACCCATTATTTTCGGGCTCTCCAGTGCTAGGTGATCCCTATAGTACTGCTCAATTTGCTTATATCTAATGAAAGAGGAGAAAAATAACCATGAATATTTTTGTAAAAAGAGTGTAAATTTAAAGATAAACAAACCTGAGATATATAGTGAAAAAATAAAGGAAGGCAGTAATGTTGAGAAACTGAGAGAAAATGCAAGATTCCGGACTATTAGTTCCAGTATCGCTAATATACGGGAATTCTGGAGAGACATCATGTAGATAGACTGATAGACAATACCTGTAAACAAAGAAAAAGAAATAAATTAGTTGAATGCTCAAAAGCTAAAAGAAAATCATAAGAGAGCAGTTATAGTACTGCAATTGCATTAGGCCTAAACATATAACTGAAGGCCTTTAATTTAACGGACATTACTTACGTAGAAATGAAAGTTGTTGGAAGAAGAATGAAGGCTGCTAAGGGAATCCAATGAATATTGGCCCAAATCATAATTAACACAGATATAAATATAAATTCAGAAAGAATAAGTAATGTTTTTCAAAATGATACCAAAAGAGGTTTTGAGGTTCCAGTTTTTTTTTTGGTTTCACTATCAATTTATCCTCAAGAGTAGGCAAAAACATCCAGAGGACACATTAGACATCACAGAAATAAAAGTGGTCACATATTATTCCTTGTTTAACAATAGGAAATTGAACCACAATTAATAAAAATAAAACAAAATGATGTAATAAAACAAAAACAAAAAAACCAAAAGAGACGCAAAAGAGAGAGAGAAACAGTTGCAACAGCAGCAGCAGCAAAAGATAGATGAGAGATTGAACAAATAAAGCAGTTAATAACTCCTCTTCAAGATTTCACTCGTATATTTAATTTATTTACACCATAGGATTTTCAATTAAACCTCTAATTGTTATAGAGGTAATCTATGGAATAACCAAAAATTAATTGGAATGAAAGATTAAATAAAGAAAGAGAACAAGAAGAAACAAACAAAAAAATGATCAAGGGTAATGGAAGGCTTTCAACGTAAAAATACTGGTTTGAAGGAAACAAAGCAACTGTTGACGGTTGTGTTAACGGACTTGCAAGTTTGTTTTTGCCTCTCTAAAGCATTAAAAGCAATGTCAATAGTCTCGTGATTTTGCTTGTTGATAGTGATTATGATGATGAAAGAGGGCATATTTTCAGTGAATATGGTGAGACTTAATCATTGTTTGATCTCTCTGGTTACTTAAATTTTCCCTATCTTCTCAGAAGTATTTAATTTTACTCAACATTTTACTCAATTAATCAACCAGAACAGATAATGATTATTTCCATTATGACTTTCCTAATTATCGTCATTTTCAATTATATAAATAGATTACCAATTTTTCATAATTGTCACAATTGTCTCTGAAGCTCTGATTATGTGAACCTACTTTTTTTCCTAGTTGATTAATTTCCGCCCTTCTTCCCACCCTTAATAGCAATTACAGCATATAAGCTTATCATGGCCCAATGATATTAAATTAGACTGAAAAGGATGAAATCTAATTTTACAATTGTTGTAATTTGAATTGTAGAACAGAAATCTGAATAGATTTCTTGGGCTAATTGTTTAAATCAAGCCAATGGGTTGAAATGGTGGGAATGAGTAATGGAGTTAACTCCAAAAAATTGAGATTATCTTTATCAAACATGTCACTAATATAAACCAAAAATAAATTAGATATGAACTTGTCAGTTGATTGATAATGAGTACAATCTGATTTAAAATGTAAACCAAGGATTTACTTTATCAACAGAACCAATAATGAAATGATTCACAGATTGATCACAGCTTTTCGGTTAACTCTGTGTTAATGAGCCTTGCGATGGGTAATGTTATCATGTTCAAGGCAATTAGTGAGTAATTCGATCATCTTACTGATTTAATCAACAATTCGAGTGAACCCATTTCGGACGATGACACTGAGAAGCCGAGGTTAGTCTTTCAAAAGGTGTTAAAACTGAAATGATTAACTATTTTGCTTGGTTTCGATTTACAAAAGTGAATTTAAAGAAATAAGAATAAGTGGAATCAAAAATAGATATAAATTGTTGAAGAAAAGGGAAATTTTTAACTCATATTCAAATGATTATTGAAATTGTTGGCAAAGAAAATGAGTTTGATTTGAACAAAAAGCAAATTGTTCATATCATTTACACCAGGATCACATGAAATCCTTTTAGATTTGGAATATAATGAAATGAATGAAAGTGATAAAATTGTATTGAATCAGAAAAGTTGACTGAATTAGATAAAATAAAAGAATGATTATGGCGATGAAGAGCTACAGTTAACCTTAAACCTCTTAGAGCATAACATGCAAAAGAAGTCAAATCTTCACTCAGAAAGATTGTTTCTTTGTTACTCTTAAATAAGACAATATTTCAATGATTTATAGTTAACAGTTTTGCCCCACTAATATTCAACAATTAAAATTAGATGACAATCAATTGATATACATTAAATTTTTAAACAAATTAACATCTTTTCAACAAAAGCAGACGATTTTGCTTTCGCTATCAATGTTTACATTCAGGGTTACATTGAAAAGAGACGTAAGAATGGCTGCAGTTAAAGTGTATAAATAAGACGATCGTAATTTTGTTCAAATCAGTTTCAAATTAACTCACATCGAGTCAACATTAATCAAAAAGTGTATCTAAATTGTGGTGAAAATAGTTACATCAATCTAAAAGCTAAAATGGTCTCAACTAATCAACAAAATTATGGTAAGATATTTTCATTTCTGTTGGTAAGGGTTTAACCTTATGACTTGGAATTAACATGTGTTTCTTTGTCTCCTTCTGTCTAGCTAAATTGATTGTTAATATGTCATCGGTGGCTGTTTTTTGCTTCATTGTTTCACTCATTGGATTACCTGGAACAAGTGCTAGTCAAGATTCAGTTAAAGCATCATCAGCCAATCTAACAGCTTACAACATGCCTTATGCCTTCTATGACTATGAACGTGATCCTCGTCGTTGGTTTGGTAATGGTCAATATTCACCTGGAGCTTCGTATGCTGGTCCATTAGCTCAATTTCCCGGTGGATTGGAAGCTATTGCCATTGGTTTGATGATGGCTGTTGGTGCTGGTTTCATTATTATCCCTTTGATGATACTTCTTTACATGACTTTCGTCGCACCCAATGGAAACCCAAATCTCAACAGTGGATTCAATTTCATGCAGCATCCAGCAACAACTACAATTGCTGGACGTAAACGTCGAGAGGCTTCTGGTGGTGACAATTTCGGTCTACCAGAAATGGTTAGTCCAATCATCCAAGAGAAGGTTATGTCTTTCTTCAAGAAATTTGCCGATTCACCTGATCGAATGAAATATCTAATGAATGTCCTTAAGCAATAAGTGGAATCATCATTTTAACCAATGCTATTTTTTACCAGAAAAAAAGCCTAAAAACCAGCTCGAAAGAGCTCCATCAGCATTGGCTTGAAGTTGTTTTTTGTAGCTTTAACCACTTTCGTTATTTTGTTTATTACAGCATTTATTAACAGTTTATTGTAAATATAATTTTTGGTTTAAAACATTAAACCTTTAAATTTGTCAAATTTCAATGCTTCATCACTCCTTCGGTGTTTTTACACTTGACTATTGAAACTATCCTCACTGCTAGACATAATGAAGAGTTTTACAAACTGCTTTTCGGGCTTGCAAATCCTTGTCACAAGAGATGCGTAAAGAAATAGTGAAATTGATTGCTGAAAAATGGATCCAATTAGCTAGCTTAATGAAAACAAAATTTTTAAAAATATTCATCTGAAATCATGATGAACTTATAATTGCCTAAACATATCAGTTCATTTTAAACAGTCACAATACATTTTTCATTTGATGAAGTAACGTAAGAGTTACTTGGTTGTTACTGAAAAGACACAATTAACACCAATTTTCTTGTAAGACTTGCAAATGAAATGCAAAGAGTGATGCCAAAGACGCGTAAATTTGAGTAAAAAGTTGAGACTTATGGGGTTTGTAGGGTCATAAAAGCTGAACCCATTGGTACTATTAAATAATTCATCAGATAAACGGTTTTCGAGAAAATTGAGGCCAAAGTTAAAACTTCGATCGGCTTTTATTCAGTTAGGGATTCAGATTTTTTCATAAAACTCACATACACGATGTAACTTTTAATGACAAACCAGAAAATGGTCTTATTTTGAGGAATAGAACTTTTCTCTTTCTGTAAAATAGATAAGTTCGATTTTTAGTTAAACCGATCGCTATCTACGGCCTTAAGAGTTATCGAAACAGAACTCATTATTTATGCATTGAAATTGTTGGGCATAAATCATGGATGAAATACTTTTTTCATTTCATCGATAGTTCTCTTGATTTTGGCCATTGGCCTTAAAACTTTGTACCTCAATATTTCGATAATGACACCACTTACAATCATTATTCTTTCACCAATTTGATTCTTTACTATTTGTTAAGCCAATTCAGTTCAAGGTATTTCCATTACCGCGTTTGGGTCATGGTTTCCGAGCTGTAAATGAACAAGAAACAACTTATTTAACAAAACAAACTCATATAAACCCATTTCTTGGTAAACAAACCAATTTTCTGGTTAGGCTTGCAAATGAAATGCAAAGAGTGATGCCAAAGACTCGGAAATTTGGGTAAAAAGTTGAGACTTAGTGGGGCTTGTAGGGACATGAAAACTGAACCCATTGGTACTATCAAATAATTCATCAGACAAACAGTTTTCGAGAAAATTAAAGCCAAAAATAAAACTTCGATCTCTTTTTGTACATCTGTGTGACCAGATTTTTCCCTAAAACTCATTTTTCAGATTAAGTTTTTGATGGCTAATTAGAAAATGAACTTATTTTGAGAAATAAAACTTTTCTTTTTCTGTAAAAACGATCAGTTCGATTTCTAGTTAAACCCGATGCTTTCTGTGATCGCAAGGTTTAGCCAGCTGAAACTTCTTATTTGTCCGTGAAAATTGTTGGTTCACATCATGGATTGAACAATTTTTTCAATTTATCAAAAGTTCTCTTGATTTTGGCCATTTGCCTTAAAATTTTGTACCTCAATATTTCGACTATGACATCACTTGCAATCATTATTCTTACACCAATTTGATAGTTTACTAATTAGTAATTCAATTCAATCCAATAACTCTCCATTAACACGTTTGGATCATGATTATCGGGCTGTAAATGAACGAGAAACAACTTATTGAACAAAACAAACTCATATAAACCCATTTTTTGGTAAACAAACCAATTTTCTGGTTAGACTTGCAAATGAAATGCAAAGAGTGATGCCAAAGACTCGGAAATTTGAGTAAAAAGTTGAGACTTAGTGGGGCTTGTAGGGACATGAAAACTGAACCCATTGGTACTATCAAATAATTCATCAGATAAACAGTTTTCGAGAAAATTGAGGCCAAAGTTAAAACTTCGATCGGCTTTTATTCAGCTATGGAATCAGACTTTTTCATAAAACTCATTAACACGATGTAACTTTTAATGGCCAACCAGGAAATGGTCTTATTATTTTTAAATACATTTTATATTTCTTTAAAACAGATCAAATGCGATTTTTATCAAAACCGACCGAATTCTGTGACCTTATGATTTAACGAGCTGAAACTTTTGCTCTGTCCATAAAAATTGTTGTTATAAACCATGGATTAAATACTTTTTTCAATTCATGAGCAATTCTCTCGATTTTGGCCATTGACCTAAAAACTTTGTTCCCCAATATTATGGGAATTGTAGCATCTACAATCATCATTATTGGCCGAACGTTAGATTTCATTATGAGCCCTAATAATGAAATATTAGATTATTTACAGAACCTACAAAAAAAGTTATAGCATTGAATTATTTATCTTGTCATGTTAGAGACTTGATCAATAAAGCTGAATGGTTACTAAACACAAATATTATACATTAGAAGAATCTTCATATTTAAATGAATTAGCACAGATGTTCTTAGATATTCAGTCATGTAATGTTACAGTCCATAATAAAATCTCATGTTTGGTGAAAGAAAATTGATTGTAGGGGCTACAATTAATGAAATATTCAAGCACAAAGTTTTAAGGCCAATGGCTAAAATAGAGAGAACTGTTGATAAATTGCAAAAATTGTTCAATCCATGATGTGAACCAACAATTTTTACGAACAAATAATAAGTTTCAGCTGGCTAAACCTCGCGATCACAGAAAGCATCGGGTTTAACTAAGAATCGAACTTATCTATTTTACAGAAAAAGAAAAGTTCTTTTTCTCAAAATAAGACCATTTTCTGGTTGGTCATTGAAAGTTACATCGTGTATATGAGTTTTATGAAAAAATCTGATTCTATAGATGAATAAAAGCCGATCGAAGTTTTAACTTTGGCCTCAATTTTCTCGAAAACTGTTTGTCTGATGAATTATTTAATAGTACCAATGGGTACAGTTTTTATGTCCCTACAAACCCCATAAGTCTCAACTTTTTACTCAAATTTCCGAGTCTTTGGCATCACTCTTTGCATTTCATTTGCAAGTCTAACCAGAAAATTGGTTTGTTTACCAAGAAATGGGTTTATATGAGTTTGTTTTGTTTAATAAGTTGTTACTCGTTTATTTACAGCCCGATAATCATGATCAAAACGCGGTAATGGAAATTTGTTGAACTGAATTGGCTTAAAAAATAGTAAAGAATCAAATTGGTGAAAGAATAATGATTGCAAGTGATGTCATAGTCGAAATATTGAGGTACAAAGTTTTAAGGCCAATGGCCAAAATCAAGAGAACTATCGATGAAATGAAAAAAGTATTTCATCCATGATTTATGCCCAACAATTTCAATGCATAAATAATGAGTTCTGTTTCGATAACTCTTAAGGCCGTAGATAGCGATCGGTTTAACTAAAAATCGAACTTATCTATTTTACAGAAAGAGAAAAGTTCTATTCCTCAAAATAAGACCATTTTCTGGTTTGTCATTAAAAGTTACATCGTGTATGTGAGTTTTATGAAAAAATCTGAATCCCTAACTGAATAAAAGCCGATCGAAGTTTTAACTTTGGCCTCAATTTTCTCGAAAACCGTTTATCTGATGAATTATTTAATAGTACCAATGGGTTCAGCTTTTATGACCCTACAAACCCCACTAAGTCTCAACTTTTTACTCAAATTTGGCATTGCCTTTTGCATTTCATTTGCAAGTCTAACCAGAAAATTGGTTTGTTTACCAAGAAATGGGTTTATATGAGTTTGTTTTGCTTAATAAGTTGTTACTCGTTCATTTAAAGCCCAATATCCTTGATCCAAACGCGGTAATGGAAAGTAATTGGATTGAATTGAATTACTAATTAGTAAACAATCAAATTGGTGAAAGAATAATGATTTTAAGTGTTGTTATTTCGAAATATTGTGGTACAAAGTTTTAAGACCAATGGCCAAAATCGCGAGAACTATTGATAAATTGAAAAAAGTATTGCATCCATAATTTTAACCCAACAATTTTATGTACAAATAATGAGTTCAGTTTCGATAACTCTTATGACCGTAGAAAGCGAGAGGTTTAACTTTAAATCGAACTAATCTGTTTTACAGAAAATGAAAAGTTTTATTTCTCAAAATAAGTTCATTTTCTCATTCTCCATCAAAAGTTACATCCGTAAAGTGAGTTTTATGGAAAAATATGGTCACACAGATGTACAAAAAGAGATCGAAGTTTCAACTTTGACCTCCATTTTCTCGAAAACTTTTCATTCGAGAAACTTTTGAATCGCACAAATCAATGCAGTTTTTATGCCCTCATAAACTAACAGAGTCTAAATCGAGAAGAGCTTAATTTGTATTCGTTTTTTGCGCATTTGGCCAATTTGTGCATAAGTGTGTTAGTTGAATTTTTTTAGCAACAATGTGTTTATTTTTCGCTCTAATACAATGCCAACTAATGGAAAACATCAAATTCGTAACTCAAAGATCATTTTATTATCTCTCTTCACAGTTCCTTATAAAGGCAATCACTCTTATGGAGCTTCAATGAGTCAAGGTAATTATTTTTCTCGACAGTTTACAATATTTTTGTTTTGCATTTAGTAACTTTTGTCGTTTCAAGATGGAACCCTTTTTGAAATGTTTTGTTTAAAGGGCACAACTACCCATGAAAGCAATGTTGTCTCTTTCATGCTGATGTTTCATTCCTTATTTCTTGCTCCAACCAGTTTTGTTTTAAGCGTCTTAGCGCAAAAGGATTTACTTAAACTCCTTTGCTCAAAATAACCAAACGTGCATAGTGATTGTGCCAGAAGTCAAACGTACTTTTGTGATTGTGCATCTACATCGATTTCTACTTCCATATCTTCATAAAATATCTCAAGACCAGAAAGAAGAGAAGGAACTTTTGTGATTTTATTGTGAATTCAACTAAACATCGTGCAAAAATTATTCATCGATTATAAAATGAGTGAAGAGCTGGGCTCTGTTTCGGGACAAGAAATTATTCAAAGTGATGAAGAATTGGTTGATATCGAATATATCTATGTAAATAGACGTATGGATCAATTGGATGGTGAACTCAACATCGTCGAACCATTTCCAGAACCAGATAGTCATAGATTCTTATTGGACAAAGAGCGAAATGATAAAACCATTCAATTGAATAAAAGGTTGGAAGCTGCTGAGCTTCTCAAGAAATACGATTATCATATTACTGTTCAAAGACTGGAAGAAATGGTTAATGAAAAAGACAAAGCAGGGATCAAAGGTATCTTAAATAAGATAACTCGAGATTTTTGTCGTAAAGTCGACTCCGTCACTTTAAAAGAACAAGATTGGTTACAATTTCTGCAGGATCTCCAACGCATAAGAAATTCCTGTTTTCATGATTTTTGCCCTCTTGAAGATGTTTACGAGGTTTTTGTCAAAGGAATACTAACCTCTGGAAGACTGGAACGCTTTCAATTCACATCTTATTTTATGCAACTCGACCCCAACTTGCCTTCAAATAAATTGATTTCTTACGATAAATCAGTTGAGATAATTCTTGATGCCACTCAACATTATGTTAATTCAGCCAAATCAGTCACTGGTGAATTTATCGATACTGCGAAAAAATATTTGGCTATTCTCGGAGAAAGTGCTGCCTCTAGAGCAAAGGGAATAAAAAAAGAGAAAGGTTTCATTGAAGCCTTGTCCATTTTAAATAAACATTTCAACTTCAACATTCCACCGATACAGCTGAGATTGATGGAAGACTCCAAAATTCAATTGATTCATCAAATACTTGCAAGTTCACCGACAGCTTACAAGAAAACCAGAAAATTTATAAAATTGACCAGAGCATTAAAAATCTTTGGAGATGAAAGCTCCGATGAAGTCAATATAGCTGGACTTCTCACTATACTTGGAAATTATGCTTACGAAAGGCAGGATTACTATCATTGTTGGAATTTGTGCAAGATAATTATCAAACAAAACTACACGACTGGGTGGAAATTATGTGAACTTATGGGAAACTCACCTGCACTAAAGAGTCACAAGTCCGGAATTAAATTACTCACATTTGCAGTGCACAATTGTGATGAACAGGAACATATTATTGAAATTTTGCTCAGCATCAGGAGAAGAGTCGATGCATTGTGTGAAGAAAAAGCTACATAAGTCTAATCAACCTTTATTGGCTTTATATCTAAACTACCTAAATTTTTACTCACTGATCCTACGAAAGATGTAGAGCTGATTGCGGAAAAAGTATTCAAAAACAATGATTTCGTGGCGATCCTTGAAGAAAACGCTAACAAATTGGAAAACTATTTCGATGAGAGGATATTTCCATTGGTTTCACCTGATGACCACAACAGATTAGTTCTCTGTTATCAAATTATTGAAAAATTTTGTCACCCAACAGTTTCATAATCTTGTAATCATAATTCATAATAAAATAATATTTATTCATAATAAGAAAATAAAAATTTCTTTATCCATGGGTTGTCATTGCTGACAATTGTAATAATATTCATAAGAAGCAATTATATCCAGTTATCTTGATGATCACTTCACACAGAATTAATTTCTGCCCGAAAACCTCCAAGAATCAAGTTCCAAGTTGATGATCTAGATGATATTGGATAGATATCTGTGATTTTTTTATAATAAAATGTTCTCAATTTTTTTAGACCATATTTTCAATACAATGTATGCACAAAAAGACACTAATAAATCCATGATTCAACCTAACCCTGTATTTCTCTCAACTTTATTTCATCAATATAAGACTTATCATGTAAAAATGCAACTGCTGAAAACCAGGTTGCTTTAGTTTTGTTTTGTGGATTTATAATTTTTTGAAAATTGTGGTCAGGATTTAGACAAACGTTTTATCAATCCTTCAATCTTAATGTTTGTACACTTATCTATTGAAACTATCCTCACTGCTTTTCAAGAGATGTATAAAGAAATGGTAAAATTATTTGCTAAACAATTAGATGGTTTAATAAAAAGACAATTTTTATTTTTAAAAATATTCACATGAAATCATCATGAATTTATAATACAAGTTAATAATTGTCTAAACATATCAGTTCATTTTAAACGGTTACTTTTTAAAAATACATTTTGTCATTTGGTGAAGTAAGAGTTACTTGTTGCTCTATTACAATGTCAACAGATGGAAAACACGAGATTCGTAACTCAATGATTATTTTATTATCTCTCTTCACAGTTTTACATTAATTATGTTTCTCACTATTTTTATCATGTTAACCTATCAATGTTCATATTTTGTCCAGTCGCAAACCTCATGTACTCCAATCGCCGTTCAATATATAGTCTATGAAGGTAATCGAGGATTAATCATTTTAGTTGGAAAAACAACTGCAAGTTCTTCCAATCAGGCCTATTTGATTACTAAACCCGTTGATTTTTTTCATCCATTTAGATATAAATCAACCTACAAAGGCCAGTAAGTCGATCGAAAACGAAACAAAAGGAGAAACAAGCTAAAATCTCATTATCTTTCTTTGTTTACCAGAAATGTTCCTTTCGAGGGATTTATTCCTGATGTTAACGTAGCCTTTTATCTGTCTAATAATGGCTATTGGGGCTTTAAAGTTAGTTTGATATCATTGTTTTATTAACCCTATTGACTAATTAATTTATTATATTTTACAGTCTTTCAGTCAAATAAAACATTGGACATCATTTGCAGATTTGACCGCGGAACCAATACTTCTCACTCAACCCGATTCAACACCAGTGGCCCAATTTAATCCATCAAATCAATACAATGGTGCTATATTCAAGGCAACCTTTACAGTTCCCTATAAAGGCAATTACTCTTATTGTGCTTCAATGATCCAAGGTAATTATTAATATTTTTTCTTGACAATTTACATTATTTTCTTGTTTCTCATTCAATCTCTTTTGTCTTTTCAAGATGGAAAGCCATTGTTGAAATGTTTTGATCCAAAGGGTGCAACTGTCCATCAAAGCAATGTTGGTCCCATTGATGCTATTGATTTATTTGAATGGGATGGCGATAATTTACTTGGTGTTTACTTCCAAAATTTCGTTACATCTCCAGTTGGTAACAAATTTTATTGGTACAGATTTTTCAGAATTAAACATGAAAAGAAATACATCGTGAGTAAAATGAACATTTGTTTTTCTTTTTTTATCTGATAGTTATTGTCTTTATTTGTAGTCATTCAATCACGTTGGACCATGGTTTCATAGAGCTGAACCTTTTCATGGTTGTTATCTTTCCTTGTGTCTTGGTTATGAGCTGGAGATTGCATTTAAAAAAAACAACAGCCTACATTTGGGCAACAAACAACAATTCATAATTACATCTGATTGGTCTTTTGCCCATGCTGATTCTAAACCGGCAGTTAATGAGTTATGGACTCAAAAAGAGTCGATAGCAGTGTTAAATGAAAATCTTTGGTATTATCAGGTTTGTTATTGCCATATAAAATTCTGGTACTTTTTGATTCAAATTATTTCTATCTTTAAATCATGAACCACAGGATGGTGCTCTCAAGCTGTTGACAGGCCCTGGAACAAAGTTGGAACCTTACATGCAGTACGATCTAGAGCAACATTTCGGGCAAGGCTACGCTGATGCTGCTTTTACCTGGACCAATGGTAATATCACCAGAGTTTATTTTTTAAAAGGTAAAGATTGACTTGAATTATTTATGTTATGATCAATATAGATGTCTAATTTACTTTTTCTTTCTCAACACAGATTCACTTTATTTAACCCTTTTGTATGATAATAATACTAGTTCAGAGAGTCTTTTCAGTTTTGACCAAGACTGGCATTTTCCGCATTATTCGTTGACTAATAGGTTGGATAGTAAAATTCACTTGATTTCTGACTTCAATACATTTCGCTATCTTGATTCAGCTGTTGAGTATTCAGATCAATCAATACTATTTTTCTATGGACATTATTTTATGAATATTACCAATTGGAGCGAGGTGAGTGATAAAGTTTCACCAATCCTTTAACAATTTATAACAATTTTTTCAATATTTCAGGATGGTCGTCCTGTTCCTGGTGAATATCCAATTTACTTGATTGCTGAAAAACTTTTAAATTGTTCTGGTCCGGATTTTGATTGGCAAGGAACTCCATATAGTAATTTTCAAAACATGGTTGCAATTTATCGCAATGTGTCATTACCTAAACGTTACGTGATACCTCCAGACAAAAGTATAATTTTCACAGACTTAAATAATTGAATTAAATCGGTGAATTGGGATACTTTGACCAAAATTTTCTCAGATTTTGTTTAAGACTGGGTTTTGAAAGATGAAAAGTATCCCATTTCACTTGATCTCTCTTGCTTAGATATTTCAATCTCATTTTTTTTCATTTCAGATTTAGCCAGACTCTTTACTTTTCTCGAAATTGTAATTGTGAGTGTTGTCTTTATCACATTCCAAATGTCAACTTGTGCACTGATTTTTGGCGGATGTTTCAGAAGAAGAAAGCATTCACAAGCGGTAAAGGAGAAAGAATTTGATTTTAATGAAACTACATCTGATGATGAAGACCCGAAACTCTCTAAATCAAAAGAAAGGAAGAAATGAAAATATCGTGCGAGGAAAAGCCCAAATCTTACCATGTGTTTAATTAAGCATGTGTTTCAAGAAAGTGCGACATTACTCAGAATGAGAATGTCTGGAATTTTTGAAGCTGAAACTACTAAAGACGATTTAATTTCTAATTTAAATAATATCAAGCGGAAATCGAGCTACAGCTTCTTAAATATTGTAACAAATTGTAGTTAGATTAGATTAAATAAATAAGATATGGTTTATCAAACAAACATTTAATCAATGGTTCTTCAACACTGACCTTTACAGGAAAAATTAAATGTTAAGCTTTTCCTGTATCATCGATCAGAATATAAGTCTCCATTAAACTAACATTAAACTTTCTCATAAATCACAGCGGTCTAACTTTCTTAACAAGATAATTAGTAATCCTTTATTTGAGAAACAATTAATTTATTTTTGGAAATTAATTTTGATTTATAAATCGCTTTTTTACCAACGGAAGAGAAAAAATTATAATCTAACTTTTAAATCTTACAGCAAAGTCAGAATTCTATTTCAATGATAGATGGCTCTCTTACCAGTCTATCTAATTGGTAAAAGAAAAGCTTAGTGTATTATTTAGCTTGCTTTCTTATTTTCTATTGGTTAACCAATTGTTACAATTAGACAATCAACTGTTTTTGATGTTATTTTTCAAATTAAGTGCAAATGATAGGAAAACAATCTCTAAAGAATAGTTGAAATTTCCTAGTGTTTTTTTATTACCAAGCTGGACCAATTCTTGACTTTCTGACCGTGATAACTCTCGTAATTCAAATGAGTAATCGGACTCCTAATAATTCTGACAGTGTGATTACTGGTTCAACGGTTGGATCAGGCCATCGATCCAGAGTGAAAAAAGGCACCAAAAGAGCAAGTTCATCGCCACTATCATCTTTTTTAGACTCTGTAAATACTGTCTCTGTTATTCAATCTGTTAATATACCTGAACCTATTCCTCAATTGGTGTATCAAGAAAATTCTGTTGAAAAATCATTGACCATGGGTGCTAATGTAGCAACACTTCAACCATCATTACCAATGCCTACGGCAGCCGAGCTGGTTTCATCATCAAACATTATTGCTAGCAATACCATAAATTCCAATTCAAGTGAACCTTCCGCTATTAATAGTCAAAATTCACCTAATCAATCAATCGGCCATGATATTTCTTGTATCGACTTGACTGGTGGTGATGATGAAATTGAAATTATAACAGAGAAGATTAGTGTTAAACCTTTCAAAAGAAGGAAACGGGACAACAAACCTACATCTAGGCCATCTCAAGTCAATTCATGTCTACCTATACAATCTTTACCGTCTTTACCATTTATTCCCTTCGCTTCTACTCAACCAATTTATCCACCTAGATCAGACTCACCAATTGTCGATCTCGCCAATTCACCATCTCCATCTACGTCAAGCAATTCTAAGTATGGATTCATCTGACTGTCTCTTTGCCTTCTTTTCAATACCAGTTTTACTGCTGGTTTAATACCTTTTGTACTCGTCACTTTTTTAATTGTAACTTACTTTTTTCTCGCAGGAGCAATGTAATCGATGTTCTGGTTGAAAGTGTACCAAACCAAAAGAATATACCTGATACCACAGGACAAGAAACAGTGCGTTTTAAAGTAGTCAAATGTCCTATCTGTCTTGAAGATGATAATAAGGTTAGCTTTTGTACTTATAAATTGTACGTAAATGTGAGGATTTAATAATCTTACCCTTTTCTCATCTTTTGGCATTTAGATATTAGCCGGTGGAGGCGAAATTGTTGTTACAATCTGTGGTCATGTTTATTGTAAATCATGCATTCATCAAGCTATCAAAACAGCTCATTGTTGCCCCCAGTGTAGAAGAAAACTTAATCAAAGAAATTATCACCGAATTTTTTTGTAATGCAAAAGATCATTTTTGTGGCATCTCACCCAGGTTCATGTTTTCTCTCTCTCTCTTTATTTCTATTTTCCCCTTTTTCCATCTTTCGTGCTACCACAATGAAGTTGTTTTCTTTTGTTTTTCTCTATCTACTTATACACGACCTCATTTCACCAACACTCATCTTTAAATATATATATATATACATAACATGTCTATAGGGTACTCTCAGAGGTTTTGACATTTTACAAAGCCTGATCAAATAAAATCAAAGTTAGATGGCTGTCGGATGTTCAAAATTCTAAATATTTGTGACTCTGTAGAGAAATGGGAAAAAACTCGTAATTTTTGGCGTTTGACTAAACTGATAAAATGATCTCCAGGAGTGCTGACCGAATCCAAGAAAATTACGGATCTACAGCAGAAAGTTCATTGATTATCAAGATTGGTAGGCAAAATTAATTTCCTTTGCTGAACACTTGGCTAACACTTTTTGCCAAACTTAAATTATGTAATTGTGTGTAATCCGCTTGACACCATTCGATCGATGATCATAAAATGATTTCGACAACGATTAGAACAAAAGAAACTATTTAATACTATTTCGTACATTTTTTTATCATATGCTGTAGCACAGATCATTTATGTAATTTAGAATTATTAATTTGTATCAAAAGTTGAACCATTATATAGGGAAATCATCTTTCCAAATGATAAATATAAGAATCATTGATTAGATTTCTTTACCATTCAGGCATTAAAAGAATATTATTCTTATTATATTAGTCTGTTCAACCCCTGTTTCGTCTCGCTTCGTTGATACTTTTTGAAGCTCATTTGCTGAACAAGTTTCGAAGTACATTCAATCATTTACAGTTATTGTCACCACTAAACCTTGAAAAAAGCAAATACAAAATGTGGAATCGTTTTCACTTATGCCAATCTTATTTGTCATCCAATTCATATTTTAAAGAGATTTTCTATCTTTTGCAGAAAAATTATCTAGAATTATCAGAGAAACTCGATAATTAATATTAGAAGAAAAGATTGACCAGTTAATAACCAAATTACTTGATGAGTTTCTGAATAAAATGGTGATCAAACATAAAACATAGACATACGAGTTTTACTCCAATGAGATACTTACAGCCATAGTTTTTAAGACCAATTTTGTCTTGATCTCAATTTAAGCCAACTGTTTTTTTGTATTGAAAGCCAAACACTTGAAATTTAGGCGCATCTTTGCTATTTTTAAAAAAACTAAATTATAAAACTTAAATTCCTACGCTTATATTTTAATATATTACAAGAAACTGATTGATGAGGTTAGAGTAAGAAATTAATTTTGACAAGTGATGATTCGTTGACTAAAAAAATGATTCCAATAATGTGTGATTTTTAAGATTATAATGAATACATTTATGCTTTTTTACAAACATATTTACAGAGAAGATGATGACAAAAGAGAAAATTTCTAATGATTATAATTAATATTGATTTAGATTGGGACCCAATAAACCTCCAGTGGGCCATTCCCACCATTTGGAGGTGAGTATCTGTTCCAAATATTGTTGCATAACTTGATTATTTTGTTGTCCAGGTATATTAAAATGAGGATGAGGATGATGTCCATTGGCAGGATCCATTGGTAAAACATGACCACCCGTTCCGAGTAAATTGTTATTTAATTCTTGGTTTTTTACTTGATTAGTTGTTGACGCTGATTCAATAGGTGATGTTACTGTTGAACCTCGACCTCGAATATTTTTCCATAAATTTCCAATGAAAGGTGTCAATCGATTACCTTCCATTGTGGTTAAAGGCCTCAATCTAACACGTAAACTCTCAAGATATCTAGAACGTCTGTTATTAGTTGGTTTACGATCTCGATTACCTGAAGAAGATCTTAAACCAGGTAAGCTGGGTAAGTACGATGTGTAATTAGTTATTGCTACAGGAACCAGGTTCGAGAAGGAAGCCTGCATTCTTTGACCCTGTCTGACCAAACCTTGTTCAATTTCACGAAGTGGACTCGGTCCTCGCAATAATCTTTGAACAGAATCAATAAGAGGTTGAAGATAACCAGATCGACCTCCTCGAGACCCTTGAGTTTTATTTGCTTCAGATGGGTCTTTTTTATTTGAATCTGATGCTGGTTGTGATAATAAAGGATTCTCATCAAATCCTTGGAAGCCCATCGGTGGAGCCATGAAATTACTACCAGGTCCATGAAGATTGAACATTGGATCATTGAAAGTTGGTGCCACATTTGAAGATTGAGCAAACTCTCCCTTTTCACCATTTTGTTGATAATTAGATTCACTTTGTGATGCAGATGGCGATGATGATGAATATCTATTTGGCATATTTTTGATTGTTGATGAAAGATGATTTTGAGAAGATGGATCCATAAAAACGGGTGAACCATGGAACCATGGAGGGGTGATTGCATTCATTGGAATAAACAAGGGAGCAACCATTTTGGCCTTTTCTGCTGCAGATGAAGAGGCAGAATCAGACGAAGAATCGCCTGAATCTTTGGACGTATCGTCTGAAGAAGTAGCAGAAGTTGCAGAATCTGAAGCTTGACTGTCTTGATCACCTGAATCACCCGAAGAACCTGAAGACTGGTGTGGATCATCAGCAGAAAAGGCAGGAACAAGTTGTGACATCATGGCAGCATGCATCTCTGGGTGACCCATTGGTGGAATTGGATGTCCTGGTGGAACTGGAACTGGAACTGGCACATGTTGGACATGATGATGATCACCACCGCCACCACATGATCCACAAGAGTTGGAACATCCACAGCCACCACCACTGTCACCACCTTTAACAACAATTTTATGTCCTCCACCACCTTTTTTACCGTCTTTTGCTGTTTGAACAACTATGTTTCCACCACAGCCACCATTAGATAAAACAATGATTAATCCTTTGTCTTTCTTTTTACCCGCTTCCACATGGACACTGTTGAAGAGTACAATAGCAGTCAAGACTATTGTTGTCAACCAAAGTTGACAATTGTTGGCCATTTGTTTTTTTACAATTTAACAAATTGGTTGAAACTTATTTTAAATAATTTCACTTATTTGGTAATCCGTGAACCAATGCAAGGGAACAAAAATCACGCGGAATAAAGCTTAACACAAAAAAATATAACAAAAGAAATGCAAGTTGATGGTTTGACACAATGATTCAAACTGATTGATATCGTCTGCTATGGACAAGTAAAACTAAAAATGAAAAATGTCTTATTTCAGTGTTCGGTGTTTTGCCGACAAATGAACTGTTCCTGATCTCGTCATAACCGTCAAATGAGCATAACAATTGAATGAGGGTGTTTTAAGTAGGGTGACTCTAAAAGCAGTGTCACCCTTCAATAGGTTGACTGAAATTGCAGGCAGTAAAGGCGGGTACTGTTTATGTTATATATATATATTGAACATTACGATAATAAAGATGACAATTTCGAGCACAAAGTAAAGACTGCAAAAGGTAAGCTATTGAAAGTAAAGGAAGATTGGATGAAAAGGATGAAGATGAGAAGAGGTTAAAGTGTTGTTGGTGATGAACTTACTCCGGATTCACCACCAATTTTTACCAACAAAAGGTAATCAACAGTTGATTATTCAATAGTGTAGTTATTTGTATTGTGTTTATTATTTATTAAGATTAAACTTGTTTACTAATTAACGTTCAATGATCGGTTGATAATTTTATCTTCTCTTTCTCTTTCTCTTTCTTGTTAGCCAAAAAGTAACTCACTTTTGCTTTACTTGATTAGCTAATTTTCATATTCAAAGCATATTCAAAGAGAGTATCGATCTTATTGTAGTAAACCTAAAAATACTTACAACAACAGGTAATCCCAATTAACGGCAGCTTAAAAGTCAATACACTTATTACAATTATTATCCTGATTATGATTACGATTGCCTGAGAAATGTCAAAATTTCACTTTTGCTTCATTGTTTTGTTACTTTGCTTAACAAAACACTTACCTTTACCCAATAATTCAGTTCAATTTTTAAATATCAATCGTTGAACAGTTCATTTCTTGTTGATCAACCAGTGAAATAAAAAAAAGAGTTGATGAAAGGTTGACGACAATTGGGCTTTCCTTATTCAAATGTGGTTATCTAATTGTTGAACAGCAATAAAAATATAATACTCGCATTTAAACCAATTTACATCAAACATACATCTCAACATTGCTATTGGCAATCTTGTTTCCTTGATTGTGATTTATTGCAAGTACAACTTTCACTTAAACCTAACTTAAATTGTTCATCTTATTGATAAACTCAAACCAATCACTGATTTAATCAAGGAAGTAATTCCATCAACAATTAAACACTTGATTCGTATTATGTTAAAAATGTATTTCCTAATGTTTCACAAAAATCACTTTTTTGATCAAAATAAGCTTTTACCTTTTAAAATGTTTAATTGTTATGTTGGTCAAAATTAAAACAATTAGATTTCAATATTTAACTTGAAATGATTGAAGCAAATATTAATGGCTAAAGGTCGCAGCCTTTCAAATTGGATGCAAAACTGATGAAATGTTTAATCACTGAATCAAGTTCATTGCTATTGATTATTAATATCTCTATTCATTGACTTATTTAATCACTTTTTTTCATATTCAACTTTGCAATTCAATAATTGAAATGATTAAAAAAAAGGTTAAACATTTTAATTTCATTTATTTATGATAATGAATCATTGATTGGTACTGATGCAGAAAATTTGTCTCAAATATATTTATTTGAATGAATGGAAGTGAATTAACGATTAAACAAAATACTAATCAAATAATGAAGATGGTGACAATAATAATAATGATAATAAATAATAATAATGGTTGGCAGAGAGGTAAGATGGCGATTAAGTTAAAATAATAATGACAATAATAATGGAAAGTTAAATTGATCATTTTAAAGCAAACCATTTTAAAGGTGGGGTTCAATCAAACCATATGATAAATTGATTGTTTGAAGATGAAAACAAATTAAACCTCAAAATCATTACCAATAATAATAATAATTTGAGCTGTGATTTCATTAACATTGAAAGGTATTTGGCAAAAAAAACAAGATGACTTTCATTCTTTAACCAACATTCATGATTATTGTGGGTTATGAATTGGGAGTGGAGAGGTTAAGAAGGAATCAAAATGATTAAGAATCAAATTTTGATTTTTTTTGAGAGAAGACAATTTATCGATATGGAAAGTTAAACTCTATTTGCAGTGAAATTGAATGATCCATAAAAAATTATCCGATCACTTTTTCTCTCACTTTTGGGTTTCTAACAAACGCTTTTCCCGATAAAGTCATCTTAGCATACATTTTGTATTCTTCTCCTGCTTTTTCATCTTTGCTTTACCGATTCTCCAGATTATCCGTTAATTTGGTACCTTTAATATCCACTAATCAAATCTTTGTTTGACTGTATCATCTGGGATTTCCTAACAAGTCCTGATCTTCCTCAGGCAGATAAAATTAACCGCAGTACTTTCATCTTTGTCCGGCTTTCCATGTAACTTGAAGGTGTCTCAGATTAGCACTTTTTTGCGTCTCAAAAAAATGAAATTCACCGAGAGAAGGCTTAATGATGTAATTTATGCTTGATTGGATCATCTTGATTTTTTGCTAAAAGTAAAACAAATCTTTTACTTGCTCATCAATAACCACGTTTAACCAATATTTGTCTTCTCCTTGTTGTACGATCTTGTTACTGTTGCTATTGTTGATAAGCATGTTGATCATGTAGATAATGATAACTGCCATTATCCGAACTATCTTTTGGCGCTTTATTTTCCAATCGTTTGTTGCTCAAGCTTACAAACAAAAACACTGATAAGTTGAGAAATAAAGTTGTAAAAATTATCATAAAACATGTCCAACGATTTACTTGTAAGATAACTTTTGATTTTGCTTTTACAACTGATACATCTTGTTTTTACCCTTTAAACTTGATAGATTTTTGTTTTTTTCGCTGATTTGTCTTGATTATCATTAAATAGGTTTCCATTTTTTTCTTTCATTATTCAGTCATGCTTCTTTGATGGTAAGATTTTCTTCCTTTAGCTTGTTTCCATTTTGCCCAATCCATTTTTTCCTTTGATTGTGCATCGATTATTGTCCAAATTGTAAATTTCAAATAATTAGAGAAGTGAATAACAATAATATTTAACAGATATCAACTGTTTTATCTTAAGTTAATTGTTTAACACCAATAGAGAGAAGAAGAAATAATATGCCAGAATTTGTTTTAATAGGATCGTTTAGGATTGTTATCTCGGAATGATTGTAAATATATAATAATTAACGATAAATCTTGTAATTTCATAATCATCAGTTGCTTGGGCCATCTTGTTTCGTATTACTTACTGATGGAGATGAGATTGGTGTTATATCATCCTGAAAGAGTGGATTTTTCACCTCCATCTCACCAGTTGAAGCTAAACCTGGACATTCATAAACAGTATAATCACCTTCTTCATTTTCCTCTTCATCGGAGTCAACATCTGAGGTAGATGGATGTTGACCAGCCTCAGCGACTTTCTCCGATGAAATCATTTGCTGCTTTTGATGATGATAGTGGTACATTTGGGCTGATTGAGCTAGCCTTCGATCACCACTGGGTGACAATGAACCAGCTCCACAAACTGCAGCTCCAGCTGAACTGCTTGAACCTTTGGAAGATCCTGATGCCGTTTTAACTGAAGAAAGAGCCTCTTTTTCCTTAATTGTTGCTCCTGGTCCAACAACCCCGTAAGCTGGATATTCAACATCCGCCGCCGCTTTCCTTTGCAGGTTAATCCTGTGAACAAAATATCCGGTAGCAAAAACAACAAAGATACCCACGAATGTTACGCCAATAACTGAACCAACAAATAATACGTTACTAAAGGACTGTTCATCACCTGTTTGCATCCTAGCTGCTGATGAAGATCGAGCGTACATTGTTATGGGCTGAGATGAATCAATATTAAAACCTGAAGCCTTAAGTTGAGACGATGGCGAAGGATTGTGTTTAACAAAGCTAGAGCTAACAGCATCTCCATGCTGATTGTTTCCATCAGATCGGTACAGACGTTGAAGATTGTCATTACTACCTAAAGCTTTGACAGATGAAATGGCGTCATCAATTCCAATATTATAATCACTTGAATCTTTACCAATAAGAGAAGCTGGTTTACCACTGTCAGATGTTTCACTCAATCTTAATTGGGCCTTTTTATAACCACTATCTACCGTATAATCATCAACCAATGGTTCCAAAGAAATGGGCTCGTTGATCCGCTCGTAACTGGGTAACGCGCTTTGACGGTAAGCTCGATGATGATAAAAGTAATCAAAATTTTGAGTTGAAACTTGTGGATATGGATATGTCAACAGGATGAACATCAAAATCCTCCATCCAACCTGACCAAAACACAGCTTATTGATTATCCAATATGGTTGATACATTAGTGGATACATTCCTATTTAATAGATGTATTCACCAAACAAGAGAGTTAAATTTAACAGTTTCTATAAACAATTAAGGTAACATGGTAAATATTAATTGATATTATAATAAATAGATTGATATACCAAGGTAAAAATCAAACAAGCAAATAAGCCTCAATATGGCTTTCGAGTTTACTGTCTAACGGTTAGGTCTCTTTCTATTTTTTCCCCTTTGCTCCTCCAAGTTTTCTCACTTTCCTAGGCTTTTTACTGTCTATGTCAAGTTTAAGCTGATCAAACACCCGCATTTATCATCATTATTTTTATTGTTATTACATGTATCATCATTAACAATCACATTAAATCCTTCATCAAATCTTTGACAGTTATTCATCCAATGCTAATCATTTCAATACGTTTTTAATTTCAATGCGTTGTTACATTGTATTAAATCGTTTAGTTTTGAAAACTTCATCGATATGTCCAATTATTCAACAAAATCAATGGTTTTTACGATTTTTGTTCACACAATTTGAAGTTTATAAAAACAGAATGAAAAAATCTTGAAATATTCAATCAAATCGATTCACACTTAAGTAATAAAGCTAAAAATGGTGAAATTATGTAAAAGAGTTACATGAGTCTTAATATATAATCTCAATTAATCAGTTTTACGATTATAAAATCATTATAAAAGACATAAAAATCTAAAATGATTGAAATATTAAATTGCTTGTTTATTTGAATTTATTTGTGCAGCTAATAACTTTTAGTCTGGAGTTAGCAAAGATTAACGGAAATTTGATATTTGAAAATGGCGCGTAAAGAGGCTGGTCAAATATGAAAAAGTCATGTTGAGACAAAATTGAAGACGCATATTGAGAGTGAGGGAAACTCATCAGCTGCTTAAATCTGTATTTTGTTTTTTCGGTGTCCATAATTTATAATTAACCGGCTATTGATTTGCATAAATTTTTGACAAGTTAATCCCTGATTGAAGAGATTTCTATCACATTTTAAATGTAAGTATTTTTTTCTTATTTGCTGTTCTGACGCTTACTTCTCTATTAGGCCACTAAGCATGTTGATTTGTATGTTCTTGTTTTCTTTACTGTCAAAAAATTATTTACAAATAAACAGTTATTTACAAATTCACAGTTAATTCATCCAAAGATAATTGATTTTTTAAACATATTAAATATCAATGTGCTTATTGCTTTACCTGAGACTGTGAACCTATGCTCATTTTCAACAGATTTGCATTCAATTTTCATTAACTTTGAGTTCTTTTAATTTTTTATTGATTTTAGTCACCATGCCTCGTATTATGATAAAGGGTGGTGTTTGGCGGAATACTGAAGATGAAATCCTCAAAGCTGCCGTTATGAAATATGGTAAAAATCAATGGAGCCGAATTGCATCTCTTCTTCATCGAAAGTCTGCAAAACAATGTAAAGCCCGGTGGTATGAATGGCTTGATCCATCCATCAAGAAAACAGAATGGAGTAGAGAAGAAGAGGAGAAACTTCTACATATGGCAAAACTCATGCCTACACAATGGAGGACAATTGCAGCTATCGTCGGTAGGACAGCTTCGCAATGCTTAGAGCATTATGAATATTTATTGGATCAAGCTCAAAAGAAAGATGAAGCTGACTCTATTGACGACCCTAGAAAACTCAGACCTGGAGAAATCGATCCAAATCCAGAAACTAAGCCAGCTAGGCCTGATCCAAAAGATATGGATGAAGACGAATTGGAAATGTTAAGTGAAGCTCGGGCTCGTCTCGCAAACACGCAAGGTAAAAAGGCTAAAAGAAAAGCACGGGAAAAGCAACTGGAAGAAGCCCGTCGGCTTGCATCTTTACAAAAAAGAAGAGAACTGCGAATGGCAGGAATTTATTTAGGTTCTGGTAGTCGTCGAAAGAAAAAAGGAATAGATTATAATGCAGAGATTCCGTTTGAAAAGCCAGTTCCTGAAGGTATTCATGATGTATCTAGTGAAAAATATGTTCCTGCAAACCATGACTTCAAAAAGTTGAGACAACAACATCTTGATGGTGAATCAGCTGCGGAGAAGGAAGAAAAGGAGCGTAAAAAAGACAAAGAAAAGTTAAAGAAACATAAAGCGAATGATCCCTCCCTCGGTTTTGATGCTGATGCTGTCCCAAAGAAACGAAGTAAATTAGTTCTACCTGAACCTCAGATTTCTGACGTCGAGTTAGATCACATTGTTAAACTCGGAAAAACAAGCTTAACGGTCAAGGAACTTGCAGAAGAATCCGGTAATGAAGCTTCTGAGGCTTTATTAGCTGATTATGCAGTAACTGCTTCTCCAGCGACGAATGCTGCTAGGACTCCAAAAGTAGCCTCTCTTAGTCGTGACACAATTTTGATGGAAGCCCAGAATCTCATGGCTTTGACGAATGTTGAAACACCTTTGAAAGGAGGAGAAAATACACCGCTTCACGAAATTGAAGGTCTTGTTGGTGGCCCAAAAACTCCTGTATCAGTAACTCCCAATACTATGATAGTTACTCCATTTCGTACACCAGGCAGTGCTGCCGCTGGACCTGGCCAAACTCCCGGTAGTGATACTTTCAATACACCCAAGTCAACATCAAGTAGACGTGAACACAAAGAGGCGACTCCTTTAAGGGATAAACTTAATATCAATCCTGAAGAATCGCTAAGCTTCGAAAGTAGTCTATCAGTTAAATTATATGAGAAAGATCAGAAAGCAAATTTAAAGAAGCAACTTTTAGAACTTCCAAGTCCGAAGAAAGAGTTTGAAATTGTACTATCTGAGGATGAAATGAGTTTGATCGCAGATAACAAAGATGATAGTGATACAGTATCAATGATTTCTGAAGATCAAGCCGATATTGATGCTCGACGTGAAGCTCAAGCCATTGCAGAAATGGAAGCTCATCTTGCCAGACAGAGTCAAGCTGTACAACGTGCTTTGCCTAGGCCATCTTTAATCAATCCAAGTTACATAAGAAATGCAAGTTCAAATAGTAATGAGTTAAAAAGGGCTCAAGAACTTATAGATAGAGAAGTTTTAACCATGATTGCTTACGATTCTTTAAACAATCCTACTGATCAACAAATGTTGTCAACAAAAGCAAGTAACAACAGCAATGTTCATTCTGCTTGGTTAAAAGATTTCCCCTATCGAGAAATTTCAGATGATGAGATGGTATCAGCTAAAATGTTGATCCAAGAAGAAATGGAGAAAATGGCCGAAGAAGTTGGTGGAAGAGACATTTTGCTTGAAAAATATGAAAAAATTTATGAAGAGTGTTTCGACAATCTACTTCCTGTTACTACTTCATCATCTACTATCTTCGTTCGTGCTGATAGACATGACGTTACGGATAAAGACAAAATCGAGTCATATTCAAAACAATTAGAAAATAATCGAAATTTAATGGCTAAACTAGCAAGAAAAGCCAATAAAATGGAAAAGAAGTCTAATATATTATTAGGAGGATACATATCTAGATCTCAAGAATTGTCCAAGCAAATTGATGATATAATTGATCAAACCGAAACAACAAGAATTGAATTGGAAACGTTCAAAATGTTACAAAGTCGTGAAGTAATTGCCATTCAAAAGCGAATACTTTCCATCAGCGAAGATGTTAAACGCCAAGAAGAAAGGGAAAAATCTTTACAAGAAAGATATGCTCAATTTTTGAGGCAAAAAAATGAACTGTTAGACAAAAAGTGATGCGATATTTTATTTGTAAACCAATTTCTTCTATTCTTTCAATTAAACCTTTCTCCTTTAAAAATTTCTATTGTACTTCAACCCTGTTATTTTGAGCCTGTCTAACATAAGGTTACTCATAAGTGTACAATACTCTTTAATTATTTCCAACCATTAGATCGATCATTTCTTAATCGATTGGTTAACTTATAAAAAAACATGAAATACACATTGACTGTTATCTTACAGAAACAAAAAACAACTATTGGGTCGATCAAAGCAAAGAGGGTTCAGCCAACTCCATTAATACTAGTTAGTTGACTTGCTGAGACGAGAAATAGGAAATATTTTAATGATAATTTAGTTTTAATGGTGAATGAATTTTCTAATAGCCTAATTACTTTCATCAAGTAAAAGGTCTTTTCCTAAATGCCAATAATCAAACTAAATAAATAATGTCAAGGACAATGTTGACAGTGTTTAAGTAGTTATTCAGATGAAATTTTATTCATACATTGCTTGAAACATTTGATTGATGTCCTTCACCATTGATCAGCATTCAAATCACATCAATCACTGGCATAATCCAATAAAAATGTATAAAAATCAATGTTTCAAAAATGGTCAATAATATTCAGTGTGAAACAGACTATTTTAGATTGAATCAAATTCTGATAACAATATTGAATATTTTATTCTCTTCTCCCTTCAAGAGTCGATAATTTATTGAATAAAATTTTTCAAGTTTACCCAAAATTAAATCTGAATAATAATCATATTTATCATTGTTTGATTTCTTGTCTATTTGGTTATACATCAATGGTTACCTCTCTATGCTACTAAACATAATTTTTTTCCCTACTGACCACAATTTATATGCAAATGGAGATTCTCAATGTTGATGGGTGGAATGGTCAAGGTTGCCAAATGATTGTATAATGGTTTCATCAGGATAATCATAATCAGTCAACCTTAATTTTTGTGTCCGCCGGAAATAATCTCTCTACTCTATTAATCAAGCCTTTCACAAGTTTTCACTATTACGTTTCAGTAAAATTTTATTTCAAGAGCTAAGAGAAGCCAGTAATCAATATTGAAATCAATTCAAAATCTGTATCTTCTATCAACATTATTAATAGCTAGCTTGGAAATCAAATTTCAATAGTATGATTAAGATTGAGACTTGATCAAACTTCAATACCATCCAAACTGTTATATATTTTCATTGAAGTGTTTACTAATTAGGATTTGTTGGTGAAAAAATGAGACCAAGTGTTAAGTTGATTAGATGCTTTGATTTGACGAATTGACTTCATACTGAATTATGTATTTCATCTCGACACAATTTCGGTCAAATTTACTCATTGATTCTATTTTTGTTTTAACCCCCATCAACCTGCCAAATAAAACAATGTATAATGCATTTGAACATACAATAATGATAATAATAGTCGACTATAGAATGCATAATCAGATTAGTTTTAATGATATCCACAAGAGCAACAGTAAAAGGACATCATTATGAAGAAAATTAGTCGCATATTATCAGGAATTTTCTGGTAAAAGATTATTGTTCCAAATTGCTATGAATTTCTAGACATGACCACAGTATTGATGGTTGTTGATTAGAGTCACTGGTTGTCAAACCAAGAATAATGAAGGTAACATGAAAACGAGTGAACCTGAAAGAGATTACAAAAAGCTTAATTAGAAACAGAAATCCTAGAAATTACTTGTAATCAGATAAATATCCAGACAACATGTACAAGCCAATATCAACCATTTACTCAAGTTATACAAGTTTGCTGACAAGTAAACATGCGACTTTCATATTTGTAACTTTGTAACATTTGTCTGTGTTCAAGATGTTGACCAGAATTGGGTTCAGAAGGATAATAAGTTTTAAAAGACGTTAATCTTGATACCTGTAGGAAGAAAAGAGAGAGAAAGAAAATATCGGTTAGTTATTGCTGAAGTAAAATGAGTTAGTGTCAAAAGAGTTGGTTAAGATCCTAGCAACGAAATGGTAAAAACTGTCGAGTAAAAAAGACTCAACTCTCTTTTTTCACCTCCTACTTTATCATCATTATCTTCACGAATTTCTCTTTATCTTTCTATTTTATATAATAGTAACTCTTTACTGTCTTTTTCCACTCTCAGACAAAACCTGGACTTTACCTGGAGGTAAACTTGAAGTACGGATACAAGCCTCTTTTTTGTTCATCCTGTTGACATTTTATAGTAAGAATGAAAAGTACTGACCAGTATTGTCATCATCATCGCTCTAAAAATTATTTTCATCCTCAGCATTGTCAATATTATTACCATGATTTGCTTTTAATTTTCAAGTGTACATCAAATTTTCCAATGTCAACTGATTATGACAAACCAAAGTAAAACAGGAACCAACATGGACAGTGAAAGTGCTTGAAAAGTGTTTCTTGGTTTTTTATGATAAACTTTTATCTTTCTATCTGTTGTATTCATCAAAGTATTGTCTTGTTGATGGTGTTATCTTTTTGTTGAACATTGTACTACCAATTTTATCCGAGTCAGTAACTTTACGAAACAAAAAAACACCAATAACAAAAATCCAAAGCAAAACTCTAATGGAGTGAAATATTATTGATTGTGATTCTATTACCTTGATTTTGTGCTCTTTTAGTTTTGCTGATTTATTTGAGTTCTTTACTGGTTATTGTAGCTGTTTTTTATGACTCAATTGATTCCTTTTTTTGAACAGAATTCTTTGTTCTGTCTGTTTTTATATTTGCCAGTGAATTTAAGCCCAGTAATGGGTTGTGGAGTTTCAAAACGTCCAATCATTGATGCATCAAGTGTAAGATCAAAAGACATCAACAACAACAGCAATGGAGACAATAATCAGAATCACACCAACAAGAATAGCATTTTATCACGAAGAAGGGATAAAAATCGATCGACAGTTAACCAAGATAGAAATGTTGTTCCCGAGTCAGCCAAGGTTGCAACAAATAAACAAGTTTCTTCTGTACAATTCAACATTGACTCGGCAATTTCATCAATTGATCAACAATCTAGTTCATTTGTAGTTCCACCATCAACACCACATCCAAAGGTTCGCCTTTTACCTCGCCAATTGAGTTGCATAGATGAAGCTTCTTATGAGTCAACCTCAAACTCAACCACAGCTCCATCAACCTCAGACCCATTGGCACCGGGTGCCACCTTTGACTCCATTGCTTGTCAAACTGAGATCACTAAATCGTCTGTAATGACTCAAACAGATCCATTGCCAACACCCGAAGAAGAACTAGAAATGTTGATAAACTGTGAATACGATTTTCCCGACAATTTTTGTCCGTCACTAGACAGTGGCCAAGGTTCTTCGATAAATGGTTCTTCAATGGCCACACACAATAATGACAATAATCAAAGTTTAGATCGCTGTGATTCTTCCCTAATGGTTATTTCAACTAGAAAAGGAAAAAACAAATTAGCTGATTTTTTTGAAGACTACGAAATTTCAAAGAGAGTTGTTGCACCGGAGGAAAAATTTGTTGATGTTGCTATTCAAGTTGCTCAGGTTCTAACCTCATGCTCAACTCAAACCAATTTTGGAGGTCGAGGATCTGGAAATAATGGTAAACCCGATTCAGGAATTAAAACCGAACAAGGTCAGCCCATACAGAGGTTAACAGAAAATCCTTTAAAAGACGGTGAACAAGATGAAGAGGACAACCGGCTGTTTCATAGGCTGTCAAATAATTTACCTATCGACCTTCAAAGGGCAACAAGTCCAACAACAATGTGGGCCGAAGTGTTAAACAGTAATCACAATTCAAACAGCTATCAACATAATAACAATATTGATCAACTCAATAATAGTGATGTTAACAATAATGTTGATCCAAGGTTTAATGGGATTGCCGATCAGTCCATTGTTTTACCCAAACGTCATGACTTTGAGTCTCAGACGGATCCAGTGAGTGAAGTTTTGGCTGCCAATGCGGGTGACAATGATTTAAATGTATTACAATCGTACAGCTTGTCTTCACCATTTTCACATATAGAGAAACAATTAGCCAACGATTCTGATAGTGATCCACTGAGAGCTGAAAAAAATGTGATAAATAAAATTAACGATACAACTAATGATATTAAATTACAAGAATGTCTAAACAAGCTTCTTGATGATATTGAAGGTTCATTCAGTTTTGAAAATAAAAAGGGTAAGTGTAATTGCAATCATCTCCTATTTAAGCTTGGTTTTGAGCAAGAAGGATAAAGAAAAATATACTTACCAATTGATTAAACTAGCAATAAGTTACCATAGATTATCATTAATTAGTTTCCCATTTATTGATTACATATCATCCAATATTGTTTCCAAATAATCATGAGGCCTTCAACCACCACTAAAAATAATATAAAGTAAATCAAAAGAAATCCTTTAAACATTGATCATTTCATATTTTGATTCAATTGAATTTTGCTCAACCCATCAGTTTTTTTCCGTCTGAATATCTGATTATTTAGCAAATATTGCTTTCAGGTTATTTTAATTTACCTCGTTGTAATCATTATCCTCAGACGTATTATGTTTGCTTTCATTGACGAATGATTGATTAAGATGAATTACTAACAAGAAAATCCTGGTTAAATGTATTGAAAGACAGCATGGAATGGAGTTGACAAGCTAAATGATTAATAATGATAATGGAACAATTAAATGACAGATTGAGTAAACATCAATTAAAGGTTAAATACAGTTGAACCATCATCAGATACTTTAATTTTTCAAAATGCTAGACCAAACTCTGAGACTTGATTATTTCTGGTCTAAAGACTTGAACCGAATTCCTGGAAATCAGAATCAAGATTTATGGTTAACAGCCAATCTTTTTACTAATTGTAATACAATTGAATCAAAGTAATTCCAAATGTGTGCAATTGAAATCTAGAATGATTGAAAGACAAAAATGTCAATAATGAAGATCAAAAAGACAACATTTTGCGATGTTACTCACAACCTGACTTACAGGTCTTTCTTATGTTTAACCAAAGCCAATTGTAACCAGAAACTTGTACCACAAGACTAATCAACTGCTTAATTGTTTAATCCTTCTAGGTGAATGTAAAGATGCTTCCGTACAAACTGTAAATGATCCGATAACTGATGAGGCTCCAGAATTTGCGGCTCGCCCTCCGCCTTCCCGTAAGAAAGAGATGATACCCACAATATCAATATTTGAAGAGGTTGATGCCAAAGCCTTAGAGGTTTGTAAAATAACTAGTACAATAATAATGATAATAACAATAATCTAACAATTTGCTGACCAAAATCAATGAATGCAGCTTAAATAGCCATAACTATTGATAAATGACAGCCTTGATGTGCAAGATATGATTTTCTTGTATCAAACAGTATTACACTTTTGGTACACAATTTTCATCTGATCATACCTTCTCATTTAACATTTTTACCTAAATTACCAATTGATTAACTAAACACTCAACTTAATCCAGACATAAATCTAGACTTTTCAATTTATTGGTTAATCTTGAATCTCATTTTTAAATAGAGAAACAAAACGAAACTAAATAAACTGAAAAATGAATTATAAGAAAATTGAACTTATTTCATTTCATCGTCTTTCATTCATTCTTATATCACTTGTTAAGGTTTTATCAAGAAAACATTAACTACAATTTTTACAATTGCATGAGATTCAACAATTACCCAGCTTAACTTTCAAATACATTTTCCAATTGTAATTTTCTTGATCCTTATTATCCCGATCGTTATTGTTATTATCATTCTTATTGTCATTAAATTTGACAATCTCTGTTCCAAACATCTTGGTAAACTAAAAAACCTTTGATGATCAAAATCAATCACAACTAGCATTTGATCAATCCTGTGGTCATTTTTGTCATCATATCGTGAGGCGATTCAATCAGAAATCCAAATGTTTACAATTTCACTGTCCACCAATGCCTATCCCAATGGAGAACCTGTAATCAAAAAATAAGCCAACATTAATCTGAGAGTAATGATAATTATTAATGTTCAATTGATCTATTATTATACCTATTAATTGTCAGCGTTGATTCAATTTGCTAATTAATGGAGCAAATATGGTGAAAAATTCAGTGTTGAATAATAATGATTATTTCTTTTCGCTTACAGGGAAAATTATTCCAAAAATTTGACAATTTAATTATCCTTTTGTACCAGTTCAAGTCAAATTTTGTTCAATTTAAACATGATAATATTATTAATGTGTTAATCGTCAACTTTTTAAATCAATAGAATCATTATTATTATTATTGTTGCTGAATGATAATATCGACCCAGAAAAAAACATTTGATACATCCTTGAGTATTGAGTTAATGGTCATGAGGCTGAAAAAGGAACAGAGAAAAAATTATTAGAATTTAGGTTAACAGTAAAGAATAAGTGAAAGAAATTTTGCAATCAAAAAGCACATTCTTTCATCAACAATTCTTATGGCAACATGGTTATTTATTAGATAATAATGTAGGTAATTTGAGGGTTTACCTTTCAACGGCAGAAAAATATATCAATAGATGAGGAAAACTAATCTCAACTGAACTAGAGGGCAATTCACTGATAGAACTCGTTCAGCATAGATTATCCTGAATACTGGAAAACACAATTAGCTGAGAAAGTAATAACTCTGTGAAGGTAATTGGAATAATATTCATATTGTTGAATCAATCGAAGGTATTTGACTTGCTTTGAATTTCCATTATTGGTGTTTTATTGTAAACAAAAGTAAACCAGGCCTTGCAGTACTTGAATCTCCACCTAATAAATATAAGAAAATGTTTGGATTGATCAGATTCTTAATGTTATAGGAAAAATTATCAATACAAAATGAATTCAATTTTTATTTACCTTTTCCATTTTTTGAATAGGTTCCAGAGGTTGAGACCTCTTCCCTTGTTTCTCTCGTCAATTATCTGGTCCACAATTTGCCCAATGATTTGTTTAAAGTTAGAGGAATATTTCGTTGGATTGCTCACAATATACGGTACAACTGGAATTACATGGGAATCTCAGTCTCGTCGGAGGAAATATTGAGGTCTCGTGAAGGTGTTTGTAAAGACTATTGTCAACTGTTTGGTGACATGTGCTTCTTGGCTGGAATTCGGGTAAAAAAAATTCAAGGGTTTGCCAAGGGTTACGATTATAGACCAGGCCATCAATTTGTTCCCGGGGAAGATATAACACATAATTGGAATGCCGTGTTTATCCTAGGCTCGTGGAGGTTCATTGATTTAACATGGGGCACAGGTTATACCGATCATTCAGGCAAATTTCAACGTAAATTGAACGAACATTTTTTCTTAACCGATCCGGAAACCATGATCTGGACTCATTTTCCATATAACGAATTAGAGGACAACTATTCAAGGTAATTTAAAACATTTCACTTTTAACAACAAAAATTTATCCATCAGTATTTTTAAATGAAAAAAGTATAGATTAGAGATTAACGGTTAAATCATTTCCAGCGCCATCTTTACGGGTTAAAGGGTAATTTGATTGCATCAATTAGGGATACAACGAAAATCCTTTATTTTTATAATTTTTCTGTTTAAATTGGAGAAAATTAATTTCAGCATTTCGATAATTATAATTTTTAACTAACACATTATGTTGTGTGCTGTTTGATATAAATTGTTAAAGTTTTGCGATCCTTTATTTGATTGCTGTTAAAAGGTTATTTTTTGCTAGTTACATAGAAACGGAAAATTTAACATTTCATGGAATGAAATTTTGAAGTGTTTGGGCTAGATAAAGCATGAAATATTTCGTCACAAATGACAGATGATAATAGCGTGTCAAAAATCATAAACTCTCATGCTTTTAAAGGTCTCGAAATTTTCCATTGCTTTGCTTATGGAAATACATAATAATTTTAAAAATTATTAGATTAGCTCTTTTCGTTGCTCTACTCTTTTAAGAAAACTTTTAACAACATTTTAATCAAAAGTGATATCCTCGTTAAATTTTGTGCTTCTTTTATTGTCGATTTGATCCTGTGAATAACCATGTATCCACCTGAGATGTCCATTTTCATCATTGAAGAGCATTTTTAGTGTGTGCTTTCGAGTAAAGGAATAACGGATTTCTGATTGTGATCTTAAGCAACTCATCTACCAAAAGATATTAATTTGAACAGAAAAGACTTTCGTTAATTTTTGAATTCATAAGATGGCGTTCAATTTAGTTTGTGACACCAATCAGCATTGAATTGGTCACAATGAATTTCATTCAGTTTTGTTGATTATTTATTTCACCTTCAACCTGTTTTATTTGTTTAAAGCAATATTTACACAACATTTAGTCAGTTTTATGGCTGAACCCGGTAGATGTTTACCCAAGATTTATAGTGATTCAAGATAGTCTCTCGACAAATATTAAACTAACCTTTTTCATTTCTTAATTTGTGACGTTAATTTTAGATGGCAGTTGTTGGATAAACCTTTAACGTTGGAGGAATTCAATACTCTACCCAAAGTGACTCCATATTTTTTTGAATTTAATTTAAAGATACGTTCTAAACTAGCCAATCCAATAAATTTCCGAGTTCAAGCAGAGATTAAAATTGGTGGACATGAAGCCATGAGATATAAATACAAACTGTATCCAGCTGATGAAGTTGAAAATGCATCGCTCAATCATTATGTGTTTTGTCAACTTAAAGAGGATCGAATGGTTGGTTCGTTTCTGGTAACACCACCTATTGAGGGTCGATATTTCTTGAAGGTAAGTCAAAGTAAAACAATCAGCTGTTAGTAAACACACAGTTACAATGTTTCCCTTTTACCGATCTAAATTATTCAGGTTTATGCTCGGCCTGAAAAAGATATGGGCGAGTGGAATATAGATGCAACAACAGCCTTACCTCCACCACCAATGGCAACATCATCATCTGGTCAATCCACCCAATCCAATCTTCACAGTTGTGTCACCTTTCTCCTTGAATGTAGCCGATCACGCAAATACCTTCAACCCTATCCTCTCAATGAACTTCCTTGGGGACCAACTCAATCATTTTACAATTACAAAATGCGACTGTTAAACCAAAATGGTCCCGTGGTAACCACTTGGGGTGGTAAACGTCGTCTTGTTCTCGAATCATCAGAGCCCATGTTGATAACTTACCAAGTGTTGGATGCCGAAGGAATGGAAATGGATGCCAAAAATTTGTTAATACGTGAAGATAATGGTAACAAGATAACCTTTACCATTTCACCTCCTCGTCTCGGAATGTTCAAGTTGATGATATTTGGTATGCCCAAGCCCAAGCAGAAAGGTAAATGGAGGCTTCCATTGTTGGCAACGTTTCTCATTGAATGTAAAATGGCCAAAATTGCCAAACAACCGCCAGAAGAGGAAGATCCACCGCCAATTGTTGTTGATTATGTTGAACCTTCAATGGAATATGATGTTTACCGGCAAAAATTTTCAAGACCAATAATCAGATAAACATCTATCGAGAATAATCGATATATTGGAAAGATTGGTGAATGTCAAATGATGACTTTTTTCCCAGCTGGTGTGAACTAAAAATGCGTCTAGTATTTTTTTAACGACAATGTAAAAGGATATTTATGTAATGAAATTATTTTTCCTTCCAAGTACAAGCCATTTAACCTTTGGAATTCATTAATGAAAAATGATTTAATTGCTGGGAAAATTGACTAGTTTTGTTTAGAGATGCTATTTTTAACATAGAGAAATGAATATGTCCTCCAATATTTTTGCTTTTAAATCACGATCACAACTTGAACTGATTTCAAGTATCATGGTGCTTGAAAGACGACAATGGACATCGACATGGCTTTCAATTGATTGGCTTCTGTGAGAAAATTTCATGTAAATATGATTTCATGTGAATCGGAGGAAAAAAAAGGATTGAATAAGAAGCAATATTGTTACTTTTTTTCAAGTGCCAATAATCTTGTTGGATATTTAAATGTCTTTATTTGAAACATTAACCCAAACTATTGATTAAAAGTTTGACAAAAATGAGTCTTCAAAAAAAACAATCAAAGTTTAATGTCATTCGATTGAGATCATTTCTGTATCCTTATCAATGAATAAAAATTAATTGTTAAACCTAGCTATCGAATCATTGAAAACCATCAAAATTATTCAAATAAACTCAAATTAGTCAATTTATTGAGTTCAATGGAATGAATAACACCTAACTAATGTAAATCTCATTACAATTAATTTGATCATCAATGATCTCGTTAACATTAACATTAAAGATGAGTTAATTGTAAGCCAAACACTTTTAATCCACAAAACTTAGTTTGTAAAAAGACCACAAGATGCCAGCAAATAACCAATATTAAGCATTTTTCAGGTTTTCATTCATTTTTCAAATGAAGTTAATTTTAATGTAACAAGTGAATGCACAATTAAGTTGACACGATTTTATTTTATTGTAAAAAGGCTTTTAGAACCCTTTGGACACAATTTCGGAAAATGAAGTTCTCTTTTTATATTGTATCTACATTTATTAGGTGAACCCATTGAAGGAAAAGACCAAAGCAGATTGATATTAGTTTGATTGATTTTGTTTGTCTGTTTGATTTTATTTTTTATAATGTAAATTAAAAGAATGTTTGTTTGGTGTAATTAAATTGAAATTATTGAATGAAAATACAATGTTTGCATCTTTTTTTTAAATCAATGAGTTTTTATTTGCATTTGATTTGGATGTACAAAATGGTTGTGTGCGTTTTATTTCCTGAGTCGAGTCAATATTTGATTGAAATTGAATCAAATATCCAGAAGGATAAGGATAACAATTGACTAAATAAAATGTGAAACCAAACAGGAATGGACAAACCAAATGAGAAAACAAAGAAATTTGTGAGAAAGAAAAATAAAATTTCCAGATTTTATGGAACCAACAGCAAGAATCAGAAAACAAAAGACACCAAACATGGTGGTTTTACATGATTACAAAAGATTGAAAAAGGCAACACAACATTGACTCTTGGTCAATTATTACCAGGATATATGGCTTCTGGCTTGGTTGATTGTTTTAACTTAATTATCGGATCATTGTACAATAATATAATACACAAAATGGAAACAACCATCGTTATCATTACAACGAAATGAAAAAAAACTAAAGGCAGTAGAGGAAAGCAAAGTGACCAAACCAGCTCAGAGTCGGGCAAGAAGTCCCAAGTTTCCAGTCAAATTGACACAAAAAAACCTTTAAATCTTGCACTAAACCATCATCAGGTAACATTGACATGTCAACAGCAACGGCATTTGAAAACAGTTCGCAACAATCGAATGTCACAATTTAAAATCTTATCCACAATCAACTCCAGGCTCATCATATACCCAAGATAACCTGCAACAATATCACTCCAACAATGGATTTACATATTTATTGTTAATATGAAGAAAAAGGTTTGAACTGAATCTTCTCATTTTTTCAAGTTGCCGAGTTGATTGTTGCTTTAAACATATTTTTATATTTATTAATTTTTTACATTTTATTTCTCTTAAGACTATCAAAAGGTTGACGATTGAATTGCCATTGGAATCATGTTTCATCAATGTAAAAAACTTGCTCCGGACTGCGACTGGTTAGACACTTTCTTATCGTCATTAAAATAATTGCAACTCGTCTGTCTAAGGCTGCTAGATGAGGCTCAGTGAGTACAGGTGAGATGGGATCAGAGGCAAGTGAAGACCTCATAAGGTCAGATAAATGGTTTAGTCCATCAAATTGAAGTAATTTGGTTACAGTTGAAAGTCGTATCAGGCAACATTGGCGAACAGGGGCAAGAATTGAAAGTTCATCATGATTGGCCAAACCAAAGCTGAAAAGCGCAAGAAAAGGTGAAAACACAATTACAATCTTTCCATCAACAGTGAACAAAATGAACAGCAAAAGTAACAGCAAAAGTTTCAACAAAGCCAGTTGAACAAGGAATCTTTTACAAGCAATTTGATTCTTCAATTTGATACCTTTAATCAAATGCTGAATCAAGTTTGCAAAAATATGAACAACAATGAAAAAAGGTTGGTGAAAGGGAGGAAAAAAAATGATGACAACAACTTTGATTGAAAAAAATGAATAGTAATGATGATTTAAAATGAGTAAATTGTCACAAAGGCAAAGGATTGATGATGAAAATCTGAAGGAAAAAGAAGTTGAAATTGAAAAGTTGCTCCAATGAAATTGAATTTTTACTCTTTTCTTTTCCCTGCAACTGAATAATCCATTTTAATATTTGATGAAAAGCAAAAGCAGCAAAATGACAAACACACTCACAAACAAGAAAAGTAAATTACAAATTGAAAAGTGTCTGAAACCATTTGAATAACCTTTTCTTGGCCCTTCACGCTGCGATTGTACATCATGCTAATACAATTACATTTTACCTATTTGTTGAACAATACTTTTTAAACTTTACCATTTTTCCTATCAATAAGTTGATATTGTTCAGCTCAACAATCCTAATGGAAATGAATTTCTTTTTTTTCTTTGTTATTCAACTTTTCACTCCCATTCCTTCCATTTCCCTGTTCACTATAAGTAATAATGTGAGCATTAACAGTGAAGGAAGAAAAAGTGAAAATAAGAAATGATGAAAAAAGCGAAGAAAAATGAACCCAGAAAATGTTTTTCATCATCTTCTTCACTTTATTCATCAACATTTCAAGTGAAAAAGAAATATCATGAAATTAAATTTTAACTCAAAAACTATCGACGCTTGAAAAGCACAAGAAAAGCCAAAGAAAAAGATAAAAATACTTTTCTTAGTTTCTTGTTTTTCCTTTGACATCTTGGACCTTAAACATGATATAAATTGTTTCAAATCAACTCTAATAATCGCAACATTTGGCTAGTTTCTGAAGCAATTGAATCCAAAATAATGTCGACTTCAACTTGTGCATTTCAACTCGATAATTGTAGAGATTTATGAAAATTGAATGCTCAAAGATCTCGGCGTTTTCACGGAAACATAATGCAAGATTAGTTGAGATTGAATCCCAACTTGAAGTTAGTCTGGAAAAACCTTTACTTGACTTTTGATGAAAATATTTAAGCTGTTTGGAGGCAACTTTGCAGTTGTTTCAGGTCAATGTCTTTAAGTAATGCAAAATAATCTGATAATATTCAAGATTCAGAATCAACTTTATCATCTCAACGACTAACCTTTTTGCAATATTCAATTTTACCTGGAAACAGAAGAGACTCGAAATTTAAAATTCAGATTAAAGTTAATAAAATGGGATAAATTTATGGATTGCTCATGATAATGGAATGAAGAGAAGAGAAAATTTTCTCATTTTTTTCTCTTCTCTTTTCTCTGTTAAATAACACTTTTCTTCTGTTCTCGACAGGTAGATCGATTTATACTGAAAAGAAAAGTCATCATGTTAGACGATGAAAGGTAATGATGATTGAAAATGGTTGGTAAAACAATTTCAGGTTTACTATGATTACGATGAAAAACGTTGATTACTTTGAATGGTTGAAGGTAAGAAAAGGAAATCTGTTCATTTATACTATCCAATGAACAATTTTACCTTTTTTTGTTGTTGTTGTATTACTCAGTGTTGGCTGTGAGATTTTTATGTTTTCAGATCTTTCAATTATCTTGATAAATATATATTACACTCACGGGATTTTATTGAGGCTATTTTTATATTACAAACAGCAAGTAACACAGGATAGATGCAGCAATATAATACCTTTGTGGATAAAACATTATCAATGTGCAATAAAATATTTTCTATGAAAAACAAGAAAATAACCATTTCTAAATTGAACCCTATTCTTGTCTTTACCCTTTCCCTTCATCATTATCGTTATTAGTTCAGCTTATTCAACATTTACATTTCACTGTTTTTCATTGGACACACAATTGCCATTTTAATGTCTTTAGACTGGTTGACCAAAGTTACCAGTTTGGGTTAAATGTTTGACAATGGGAATGGAAATTGAAATTTTCAAGCTTTTAGCATTTCGATCTGAGAAACAAATTTTATGCTTTTCATTATCAAGTTGGTTGTAAATTGTGATTGAATATCGAAGTTTATTTGACAGAATTTTTTGTATGTTCCTTGCTTTCGATTGTTTGGTCAATAGTCGACTTTGTTGAAACTTTTGTAAAGTGTTTTGAGAAGTGCAAAATATTTTACCCTCTTCCATGGTCAAGGTGAAGGGGAAAAGTATTGTTTCCAAAAATTCTGAAAGTCTCGTAATGATGACGATCCATATTACCAATTAAAAAATCTAATATTGACATGTCCATGAGATCGGGTAACCGACGGCCTTTATTATAAGGACCAGTTTTACGGACAATGTTATCACAATAAGAATCGTCAGTTTCCCAGATTGCTTTACGCCTTTTATGATACGATCGTCTCCATGGATGCCTCCAAATCTGTTTGATAAAAGACGAAACAAAACATTTAAACCCAAAAATCAAAGTAACTTCACAAATTATTGAAAATTAACCCAAAATTTTCTTTAATTTCATTGAATACATCAATTTTATTCATGAATACAACAGCTTCCGAAACCAAACAAATGCCATTCAATATTTTCTTACCCAAACCAAATGAATTTTCAATAAAATTACTTTTCCTTTAAAGTTTTCCTCAAATTTCTTGAACCATCAAAAATGATCCTAAAATGAACTGAATTTCATCTGATTGCACCAAAACACATGAATTTGATTGACGATTATCAACAGTTACTATTCAATATCTTATAACAAACCAAAAACTCGAATGCGAAATTTTCAGTAAAATCTGTTTTTCTTCTCAAAACTTTCTTCAATAAACATTCAGAATTGAAATTAGCCCACAATCAAGCTAATTATTGCAAGCATTTACTCTTGCATTTTGATTAATCGATGCAAATTAACCTTAAAACTAATCAAAAGGAGCATTAATGTTCAACTTTTGTTAATTTATGGACCAATTGAAGTGATTGTTGCTGAAACTAAACTAACAAAGCAAACTCTTGAATATTTAAGCTCGTAACTCTTGAAAGTGAACATCAATTATTGGCAAAACTCAATGAAAAGATTAGTTGATTCGAGTTTCAAGTTTAAAGTCTTACAATAAGGTCAACCGAACAAGTAAATTTGATATTTTTGGGCAACTTTTTTCCCTCTTCTTTTCACTTGCAGTTTGCCTTTTGCAATGAACAGCAAAATATATATAATAACCACGAATAAAAAGTCATCAATCAAAGGAGAAAATCTTGGAAAACGAAAGATGGTAAGAGAGGAAAGAAAGAAATGAATTTTTTCCATTCTTTTCTTTTATTCTCCTTTTTCTTGGGATGAAAATGAAAATTATATTAGTGAACATTTGAGAATGATTTTCGCCTCATTACCTTGCAAGTTTATTTCCAAAGGATTCATTTCAATTCTCAACTCTTTCCTTCCTCCATGAAACATTTTTACTCCATCATAATGATTATAATGATAATGATAATCATTCTATTATTTTCTCTACATTTTTCATCATCATCATCATCAACTTTATTTTCACATAAATTCTTGAAATGATAATATAGAGAAAAATTGAAAACTTATTTCTTCCCATTTCCTTGGCCCACAATTGACTCCAAATGTTAACAAAAAAAAGTTTCCCAATTTTGGCGAAACTTTCATCTGATAGACTCAACTATGAATGATAATGATTATTGTAATATAATTGTGAAACTCCTTTCATAGTTCACTGTTATCATGAATAAAATTATGATTCTTGAACAATTAGAAAAGTTTGATTACCTTTCTTGGAGCCAAAGTAGTTGAAGGCAGGAAAGCGGCAAAGCTTCCCTCTAATGTATCTGGATGTCCACAAATGGCATGAGCTGTATCACAGTAGTAACCACATTTGCCGTGGAAGCACAAGTTATTGGCTGGGAATGAAATGAATAAGGTTAGCCTTGGTTCAACTCGAGTTTTGTTCATTTCATTGTAATTCATTTTTTTCACTTTTTCTGTATTTCTTTAACAATTATCATCTTAACCCTTTGCTAGTTAATCATTAATTTTATTTGTTTGCTGTGATTCTCAAAGGAAAACGGAAGGAAATGGTGAATACTTTGTGATTCACTGAAGACACAGGAATGAAAAGATTTCAGCAGAATCATGATTATCATTATTTTTATGATCATGTTTTTGTACAACTGATTCTCTCGTAATTGTTGTAATATGAAAGTGAAAATGAAAATATAAATCCATTATTGTCTGTGTGTTTAATGATGATTCTGATGGTAATCATTGTTGGCAGCTTTTGTCAATTATCATTTAACACAAGGAAAACAATTGTAGACAAAAAAAAGTTCAAACTTGTAACCGGAAAACGGAAATTATGATTACAAAGTTTTGACCAAATGGAAAGGATGGACAAAATTTTCAAAGCTAAAAACAATTGTAACAATGGAAATGAACAGGGAATCAACTGGGAGTGAGCTGGGAATGGAAATGCTGGGAGTGAGAAAATGAGTGAAAGCAGAAGCATGATTAATCGAGTTGAACAAGTGAATATAATGAGTGAAACAAATGAATTTGAAAAGTGAAAAGTTCCAAATGAAATGAACAAAAGATAAAATTTGACTTCAACTTGATCCAAGTCAAGTCGATGAATGTTTCACTTACCAGGAGAGACAAAAAATGTTTTCAGTAATGCATCGTCACTGAGAGCGTAAATCTCTGAAGTTATATTGATGACTCGACCAACGACGGGAGGAGCTCTTCGAAAACCTAAAATTCTGTAACGAAAAATTCGAAGTTCAATTGAAAGTTCCAAACAAAATGCAAACATATTTTCGAATCTTGTTATTCCTCTCAACATTTCCAGATGGAGTTACAAGTTTCACCATGTAACCTCATGGCCAATGTTAGCAACTATTCAGCTTTCATGAGTAAATGATGAAAAAAATGAAAGAAAATGTTACAACCTTTCTTTGAGAATCTTTTCTCTCCAATTAATATTCAATGTCTATTCAGTGTAAATTATGGTTAAATTATGTTTCCCTCAAAAATTGGCTCTTATTTCATTCCATTTCTGGACATGAAGTGAATTGGATAAAATTTATCTTCATCATTACAATAAAAAGTTAAACTGTAAATTTAATGAAATCAATTGCGAACTATTAAATTGCTCTGAAATTGCATTTAGTTGAATGAGAAGAGGGAAAGTAAAGAGTAAAATAAAGCTTCTCATGACATTTATATTGACATTTATTTTGAAAGCAAAAACAAGACTATTAGTTTTATTTGCATTTAACAAAATTCAATGATAATATTTGTCTATACCAAACAAGTGAAAATATCTGATAGCAAATTATTTGCTATTAAATTTACATGTAAACGACTTAACCTTATTTATGAGATTCATTTTACTCAAACGATTCTCCATTTAATTTGATGCCTTTTCCCATTATGTTCAGGAGCACAGGTAAAGTGTATAATAAAGAAGAGAGAGAATCTCAATTCTCAGGGTAAAATCAATTCTGAACTTTTTTCGCTTTTCGTTTTTTTCTCCTTCTTCTTCTTTTACCTTTTCTCATTATTAGATTACACTTTTAAATTTGAGTGCATTTATGAACACAGTTAGATTGAATAACAAGACACAAAAAGAGCACAAAGTGTTATTAAAATTAACTTACCTATCAAGATGAAAGGCTGCAATCTCAGAGTTGTGCCTTTCGAAGTCAACAAAATAAAAATGATTTGGATCAGTTTCTTTATCCCGAGGAAACCTGGAACAAAATGTTTCAAAAATTGGTTAAAATTGAAGTAAATACCAAACATTGAAATCGAGTAACAATCAAAGTTACAGGCTTAAAGGATTGTAATAATCCAAGGCAATTTGAGCAGCCAGTTGGGCATTAAGTCGAGCAAAGTTTATACGATTCTAATGAGCATAAACTGAAAAGTAAACGCTGATCCATTCAACATTCATAACTGTAATTGGTAAATCAGTAACAACGAAAACGCTGTTTATAATGAGATTGAAATGACTTCGGACGTTGATTGAATCACTAAAGACATTGAATTTACTCGAAAGTCAAACAAGGATCAATCAATTCGCTAAATGAGCGTCAATTGCATTCGTATCTTCTTAGAAAAAAGAGAAACTTCGAATCGCTTTGCACTCCCAGAATTTGATTCGAGTTGGTGCAAGACGACATCAAACGATTGAAGACCATAAGACATTGAATTTCCAACATCGATTGTTGGTTAATGACTTTATTTGTGACATTTTCTGATAACTAAATAATATTCTCATGTAGAATCATTTTACTTCACTTAGTTTTGAACAATATTTTTGATCCAATTACTTAAAATCTTTAAGACTTTTCGATTTGTTTCAGAATCTGTTTGACTGCAATTTTGATGAGATTGCTTTGTTTGCTTTCGAGAAATGCTCAATTTTATGTTTAGATTAACATTGATCGTTAGTCGTTTGATGGCCAATTGCTTACCTCATTGGTTTGAATAAAGCTTGACCTGAATTACGATAGTCGATTATTAATTTAAGTTGAGTTCCTCCTTCCTTTTGACCTGAAGAAAAAAAAGACAAAAAATGGAAATTTTATTACTTTACTGGAAATATTTCAATTCAATTTGATTCCATGGGTGATTCATTTACATTGAAAATTCATTTTTTGATTGATTTTATTTCCATTTTTTTCATTGAAAAATGTTATTCCAACATCAATCAATCTTGAATAAAAAGGTTTTTATGAAATTAATTTCAAGTTTAAAAGAGAAGAGAGAAAAAAGAAAAACAACGAAAAATTGAACTAAACTCGAGTTTACCAATGTTGATAACAAATTGTCTCAACCGAAAGAAGAAAAAATAATAAAATTGATAAAAGGTACAACTCAGGGGACCACTTTGTCTCTCTGAATCCAGTGTGTTCAGGTTGGAAACAAATTGTTCAAAGACATTTCAATGATAACCTTTTGTTCAACTGAACACGAAAAATAATTAGAAATGAAAGTGAAGTTGAAAAATGAAAAATTTCATTCCAACACACAAAAGCTTGACTGAAATAAAAAAAGATTCAACTCTTGAACACACTTGCAGTGTGAAAAGGCACAGGTAAACAAATTATCTCATGAAAGGCCAATTATCATTCCAAAAGCAATAGACAAACAAAAGGATTGAAAATTCAGTGAAAATATTTACTCGAACAAAAAGAGGAGAAAAAAAAGTTGCAATCAGTTGTGATCATGTTATGAATAAAAGGTATAAACAAGCTAATAATGCTGAGCCAGGTAGAATAGGTAAAGGTGTAATAAGTAGAACAAATAAGTTGAAAGTTTTCCATGAGAAGAAATGCCATGAAAAAATGAAGATATTTTCGTCTGAAGGAATTACCTGAAATTCAAGTTTCCCTTTATATGATAATTTCACCTCTAAATAAACACTAAACATTTTTACCCAGTTTTACGATTCTTCATCTAATATTCAATTCGTCGGGTAAACAGAAGAAGCACAATTTGCTTGGAATTGCTGTTTCAATCAAAACTAATAACTCGATGATAACAGGGAAACATTTTTTTCTTTTCCTCTTTTTTACCCTGCAAATGAATTTTCCTCCATTATTACCTAACTCATTGGCTATAATGATGTTGATAACATTGAATGCTACAAATTAACAGGGATTTAATATTCGATAGCAACATCATCCAAATGAATATCTTTTTTCATCTTCTCATCCAAATCTCATGATTATCATGAAAATCAGGTCAATTCCCTCAATTAACTGGTCAACAATGTCGAGGTTTATCGAGAGGAAAATGGAAAATTTTGTTGAATTTCAATGAAACTGTAATTGCTTTCCATTCGCCGTTAGACTTGATGAACAAAATATTGATGAGAAAAAAAGTCAACATTACTGGGAGGTAAAAATATATTTATTTATATTTTGTTTTGTGATCAATTTTTTTCCATCTTTTCTTTGTTATTATCCTTTATTGTCCCTTGTATGTTATATCAATCTTTTTTTTTCTTGGATAAAGTTGAGCAAAAGTAAAAAGAAATTATTTTTTTACTTTAGTTTTGTAGGCTTTTTTTGTGTGAAAGCAGATAAAGATGATGAAGATGAAAAAGAAAATGTAAGTAACATCACTTTTCTTCTTCTCTTTTTTCGTCTTTTTTTCTCTTCTTTCCTCTGCAATCAATCCTAAAATCCTCTTTTTTCAGTTTTCATCTGACTTGCCATGATTTTATTTTATCTTATCTTTAGCCTTTTCTTTTCTGCTGAACATTCTGTTTATACTTTCATGATAAGCTGCACAGCGAAAAGGAAAACAAAAACGGACTTTTGAAACTGAGAGAACAAAATAACGAATAGAAAACTGAATAAATTCATTTTGCGAATCTCATCTTTTTTGTTATTCAAGGAAACAAATTTTTCCTTCTTTCGACTCAACATTATCCATTCTTGTTTAGTCTTTTTTTCATCATTTCAACTCAATTTCAATCATTTCTTTTTTTTCAGTCTCATCAATCAATTATCTCAACTAATTGACAGTTGAAATAAAGATTCATCAGTTATCCAGAGTACAGGCAAGTTGAGGAAAAAAGCAGTAAATTGTGTTATTTGAAAAGAAACAAATGAATAACAGTAAATGTTGAGTAAAACATTATTTTTTCACGTTCTGCACAAGTTGCTAGTCAAAGTCAGAGTTATTTAATCAAATTACATGGCCAATCGTAGACTGACGGTAGACGCAAAAAAACGAGATTAGTTCGTACCGACATGAGGAAACTCAGGTCTAAAATGAGCATAAGTCATGGACTGAACGTAACCTTGCTTCAGACAAGTCGACTTAAAGTAAACCTAACAAGCTTCAATTACTCAGTCAACCTTACAAGGCTAACCCCTGACTAAGGATGCAAGTCGATGCAGGACTCTTGCCTTGCTCAGCATCAAACTTCACGACTCATCAGCCTATTGTGTTCGTACTAAATGATCAATGTAATTATAAATTTTGTAGTTTTTTGCTTCTGATTGCATGATGAAAATTATTTCACCATTACCAGGACAAGTTTACTCTGACTTTGTTAACAAACTATTAGACGGTAAATTATGAGGCAGCATCATGGCTTAATGGTTAAGAGATTTAATTTTTGCTTCTTGTGACTCTCTCTCCATTTTTATCATTCAATCATCAACAGTCTGAACATGATATGTAATTTATTATCAGCCATTTGATTTTCACCATCAAATGAATCAGAAATAAAATTGTAAGGTAAACAAGTTAACCCAAGAAAGGAAACAAAAAATGCTTCCAGTATGAAAGTTATAACAAGTATCATTTTGAGTTAACTCAAATGGAAACTGAAATAACCTTAACCTTTTCTGAATCACTTTTCTTGGTCTTTCTTTCTTCTCCTTTCTTTTCCCTTTCTTTCTTTCCTCATTTTCTCATCTCCATCATCATCATTATGATTATACTTTTTTTTACTCTCCTGTTCATCAGCATCAATTAATTTACTCATTATTTTCACTCAACTGATTAACCTTTTTCATCTGATAAAGACGAAGAATAAGAAGAGATGAAAAAAGACAAAAAATGACAATTATAATCATTCCTATGGAAACTTTAGTGGTGAAATGACCTATTCTCATAATGATGATGATGTTGGCGAAAAGTAATAGGATGAGGATTTTTAGGATGATAAGGTAAGAAGGAAGATGGAGAAAAAAAGAGACAAAAAAGTGGTTGATTCAAGTGATTTCAAGCATTTAGTGGGAGTGTAACCATGGTAAAATGGATATGAAAGAAGATGAAACACGAAATTAGGATGATTGAGTTGTAAGAAGAAGAAACTTTTTTCTCGTTCTTTTTCTGATGTTAAATGAAAGGATAATGATCATTGAAACTGTGATGATGACGATGATAGTAAAGAATCAAATGAAGTAAATGAAGTGAAATTATGCTTACCCACTCGGACAATTGGTAAAGTAGCCATGTCTTTCAATAGATCATCAATGGTTGACTCGGATTCTGTATATAAATCATGTTGATGAATGTTGAGATGAAACTTTTCCCAATTAGTTAAATTGCGTCTGCAAAAATAAGAGATGAGAAAAGACAATTAAAATTCAGTTGAAATTAGCCGTGCAAATCTTTTATCACAACTGATAAGTGCTTCTGTGGTCAATTTTTGGTCAACGCAGCTCAATAAAAAGTTGAAAAGAAAAGTTCGAAGTCAAAACTGCCAAATTTGTGAACGCTCAGATCGCGACAATCGATTTTTCGTCAACGAATCGTCAAAGCATACAATCGATTAAAATCGATGTTTAAGAAGATAATCGATTTATAGGTGATGCTTGATGAAAATCGATCTTTAATCGTACTTTAATCGATTTTTATGATATCAAAAAGGGAAACAATAAATTTAAAAAACGAAAGTCAAAAAGCCGAAACAGTGCTCGTATTTAGATAGTCGAAATGGTCGTTTCAAAAATCGCTTAAAATCGATGCTCATTTTCAAAGATTTTTACTTAATTGAGAAACACTTAATCAGAGTTGCTAAATGTGGCCAAAAATTGAACTCTGACAATACAAAATACTTGAACTATTAATGGTCAGTTTTTGTGAAAAAGTTTCATCAATGATCTGACAAGAGTTGGGTGCAAACATTTGTTAATAAATCATTCGTTATCAGAATATCATCATGAAATTGTGTACAAGTACAATAATAAACTCGAGATTTTTTGCTTTTATGAATCTCATGATGATGCTGGAAATGAAAATGATGAAACTGATAATAGATTTACGATATTTATATACATGTAACTCAACGGGAAGCTCATCAGTTTCATCTGTTTGATACCAAGTTGCATCTCTCTGCCTCTCTCTGTCTCTTCCTTCCCTGAGTCTTCAAGATTTGCAACTTGGACAATGATAATTTGTTGGAGAGGCAAAAGCATCATTATCATTATCATTAAAGATACAACAAGAGCAACATGATAAATAACAATCAACATCTTGAAAATGATTGTCTCAGTCCTTTTCACATTAAGCTATTTGCTGATCTTGTGGTTGTTGAAACTTGTTTTGTAGCCTTGGTTATTATTGTCTATCAGTTTCATTTCCAGATTCAGATTCTGTTGTTCCCTTTTCCATACTCTATCACAATGTAATATTTCAAGTTGAACCTTTTTTGTTTCTACTCTCACTCCCTGCAAGTCAACTCTTCAACGATACTCTCTGTTACGATTAACATAATACCTAATATTTATGGTCGACTTATCTGGGATCAATTTGGAAGCAAGTGGTCCTCATTTGTAAGGATTTCATGTTCATCTTATTCACATTTTTCCTTCTCATCATCCTTTTCATCACACTAACTCACCCAATCATCATCATCCATCCCTGTTACATCTTTATCAGCATCAAAAGTTTTCCTTCCAATTTGCTTTTTGCTTTACACAAAAGAAGTAAAAATGATAAGCCAAGCTAATCAAACCTTTAACTCCATGTAAATAACAGTAAACATGATTCCCTGTAAATCATTCAGTTAATCGGTTCATTTAAATGGCATTTTCCGCATCCAACATTTCGATTATTGAAATGAAAACAATTTTCATTAAAAATGGAAATTTCATCGTTCCAACGATCTAATTGATGAGCACTTTGGAATATTTGAATTTAATGAAAATTAATTTACTCAAACTTGAGCTACTCAAAATTCAATTTTATCCGCTTCCTTTTTCACTCCCTTTAATGATATGAAAATATCTCATTGCAACTTTACCTGAAAGATAACTTGATATTTATTTGGATTAAAGTTTATTCAAATACTTTTTTTCATTAAAAATTAATCTCATTTTGATTGAGTTTAATCCTTTTTTCCATGAAAATTTCATTTTATAAACATTTTGAGATTAAAAAAACTGATTAATCTGTATTTATAATGAACTTTGCAGAGAAAAAGTTCAATGAAAAAGACTAAAAATAGCAATTGAATAAAAGTTATCAGCATAATTGAAATTGCTTTTATTAATGTTAATAATTTTTATTGATGAGCACAATAATGAGTAAACTTTGAACTTGATTGTAGGTTCATGATGATGATGATTAATATGGAAACCCATCAAAAGTATTGATCAATAATGGGAAGCAAATAACTGATTGAAATATAATTTGTTTCCATGAATGAGAATCTCAAGTTATCATGAGAATATGGAGAAAAAGAAAGAAATCAAACGTTTTTTCGTTATTGCGCTTTTCTTTGCAATAATGTATTAATAATAATTATTTACATTTATCACGTTATACAATTAATTTATTGCTATTATTATCATTCAATTATGGGAATACGAAAGAGAAAAAGAAAGACGAAAATAATTACCTTGATAATCATTTAAATGAACAATTTAATCAATAATCAGGAAAAGAGAAAAAAGAGAATAAATTTTATTCTTCTTTTTGCTTCTTTTCCTCTTCAAATAATTGCTTTGCCGAGATAATAATGAAAGCAGAATCGAAAAGTTCTCAACAAATTGTGAGATGAAATGCTGGGAATGGGATGAATTAATGAAATAAAAGGATTAAGAAATGGTAAGTTGGATTGTTAATTGCAAGTTTAGGATGATAGGGATGATGAGGATGATTATGAGCAAAAAGATGAGCAAATTTTTTTCTTAATTGTTCCTTAATCAGTTGCTATTGTTAGCGATTTACAACTGTTTCAACCATGAAAATGCAAATGAGAGTGAGAATGATGAGGATAATGAAGATAACGAGGATGAAGATCATCAATGTTAATCGATTTTTAAGAATCGATTAAAAAAGCTATCTAATAAATTCATATCGATTAAAAATCTAGAGAGAATCGATATAATATCGAATATTCAACACGGTCAACACCAGTTTATGCCCTGACCTGGCTCCATCCTCAGACCTTAGGTCGTAAGCCCTAGCCCTTGCTTATCTTACCACTTGTCAGGGTTAGTAATAAGAGATGTCGCTTTTTCAACTTTTGACTATTCAAGAGCATCAAGAAATCGAAAAATGTATCGATTTAAATCGATTTTTGAATCTTAAATTTTCATCTTAATGAATAAAGACAAAAATGTAAATTGCATGAAAAATTGAATGCAATTGAATATCACAAAAAGGGAATGTTGATGAATTTGATTGGTGAAAACGCGAGAAAAGATGAATTGTAATTAACGTGATTCTCTTTATTAGATTACAAAATGCCGGTTAATGAATTGGTTGCTTGTTTATGTGTTGAACTAAACATGGATAAGATGAGGAAAATGGCGAGGATGAAAATGATGATCAAGATTTAAGGGTTATTATCAAGTCCATTTGGAATGGTTACTGCTTTCAGTGTCTTCCTGGGTTACAATCAAATGAAATTGAGTGGATAAAGTTTTCATCACTTAATTGGAAACAATTGAGTTAAGCTTAACTGATAATTATCTGAACATTACTTTCTCTTTTTTCCCTGCAATCCTTTTGGATGCAATCGAGTTTATTGGTTTACAATTTGGATTCAGTTTTATCGTTACTCTTTTTTCAGTTGCTCCTCAGATTTGAATTGGATTTGCAGATTTTCAATCAACACTGAAAATGATAAAAGTTTCAATTTTTTCTAGACTCAGCATCACTTATTTTATCCTTCAACTTTGCCATTAAAAACGGAGACATCATGTAGCATTTGTTTATTGAGAAATAAATCAACTCTTCTTAACTGTCAGGTAAAAATAGCAAAGATGATGATAATGATAATGATGATAATGTTGAGAGAAAAATGAAGAGAAAGAATGTTAAGATTTTAAGCTTGGTTAAGAAGTGAATGGAACAAGTTATTCAGAATATTTATGTTATTATTAGGGAGAAAAAGAAAGAAGATTTTGTTGCTTTAACAATTTTTATTCATGAGGCTCATTTTGATGATTAGATGACATGCAAATGCAACATTAATCTTCATCTTCACCATATTTTAAGGATCCAGTGAATTAGACGATCAATGAAGACAAATAAAAGTCTGAGAGAAAGTAAAATTAAAAAGATGAGAAAAGAATGAAACTTAATTTTTTTCTTATTCTTTCGCTATTCAAGTTTATTCCTTTTCTTCATTTAAATGGATTTTTTGCAGAAAAAAATTCAATATTCACATTAAAGAAGATCGGAAGGAAGAAAGAAATTCCGACAATTCAAAAGGTTGAACATGCTTTTGGTTACGCAACATTGAACCAAAACATAATCGAAAGACGATCAATCTGAGCTAATCTAAAGTCCTAGAGCTTACCCAGAACTTTTCAACTTTGAACTTTACACTTAAGGTGACTATGGGTTAACTGGATCGGAGCAAAGTCAATCCTGTGCTAGCACAATGGCACAAGTGGGCTGCTTTAGAGATGAACGATTAGGCTAGTTTAGGTTAGGACAGGTTAGGTTAAGATTAGTCAGTTAATCGATTTTGTGTGATTAAACAAGGGAATCGATTATAATCGATGCTTAATCAGGCAATTTTTGAGTTGCCTTTTTTGTACAATTTCCCTGCTTTAAAAAGCAGTGTCTCTCATGGCGCTAAAATTATTGGAAAAGTCAAATATTTCAGTTCTGAACTGTCGAAATGCTAATACATGAATTTGTTAAAATTTTTAATGTAATCTTTAAATCGTGAAATTGATCGATTTTTAATCGCTGGTTCAATCGATACTTTGCACTCAAATTCAAAATTCACTTTTAGATTGGCTGCAAATTGAGTCTGGATAGTAGGATGAGAAAATTTATCCGAATTTCATTAGTGGGTTAAAGTTACGAATGGAATTTTTCATTTTCGTTGAGCATTTTATTGTTGAAGATGAAAAAAAGTTGATTCTTGGACATTTTTTCCTGATAATTGCATTTCTCATTCCTAAAAGATAACTATGGAGTGAATTCAGGGAGTTCAATAATGAAACTGTGAAAGTAAAAGTATGGGAGTGAAAATACTGGGAGTGCAGTGCAGGGAGTGAAGAGTCAAGAGTAGAGAATGAAATTGTACCCAAAAACATGGCAAATAATTCTGTTGAGGAATCATTGTAGATGTCGCTTCGTGTTG